TTTTTCTCTGATTTTATTATGTCTTAGTGATTTATCTAACTTACATTGTATTAGTTTAATACCACTGCTACTCTATTTTACACAGAAATTGTCACCTGAAATTACTACGTACATGTACTAAAATAGTTTAACAATATAAAAATGATTTACGTTTCCTTTTGTGTCAAACGATCCTTGATATAGTTAAAATCAACTACAGCTTTTTCATGCCGCTGAGGCACATATTTTTAGGTTGTCGAACGTCAAGATAAAAGAGTTTTCTTCCGTGGATGAGTTTATCTATAATTACTGTTGTACATAAAATACACGAATGGGAGTGGTTTATGATAAGAGAGTCAACTTGACACAAATCATACAGGGTGAATAAAAAGTCAAGACCCCCCCTCTAATATTTTTCCTAGTAAATATACAGAGATATCCTTTTGGTGGTCGAGCAATCTTAGCAGGAAGTTTCATTTTATCATTTTGAAATTTTCGAGTGTCCCCCCAAAAGGGGGGATTTGGGGGGCAACTCAAATATTTTAAATGTAAACCCCCTTCAAGTGACACCTCATTTTGAAGTGTTTACAAAAACTTAAAGAATGGTGAAAACTAGAGGTCGCTATCTCTTCTCTATCCAAAATGGTAGCCCGTCAAATGTTGTGGAAAATCAATGGTAAAATTGTTAATATTGGCTGCCATTTTGGATAGAGAAGAGATAGCGAGCTCTGGTTTTCACCATTCTTTAAGTTTTTTTAAACACTTCAAAATGAGTTGTCACTTGATCGGGGTTTCTATTGAAACATTTTTAGTTGTCCCCCGAATCCCCCCTTTTGGGGGGACACTCAAAGATTTTAAAAGTAAACCCCCTTCAAGTGACACCTCATTTTGAAGTGTTTACAAAAACTTAAAGAATGGTGAAAACCAGAGCTCGCTATCTCTTCTCTATCCAAAATGGAAGCCAATATTAACAATTTTACCATTGATTTTCCACAACATTTGACGGGCTACCATTTTGGATAGAGAAGAGATAGCGACCTCTAGTTTTCACCATTCTTTAAGTTTTTGTAAACAATTCAAAATGAGGTGTCACTTGAAGGGGGTTTACTTTTAAAATATTTGAGTTGCCCCCCAAATCCCCCCTTTTGGGGGGACACTCAAAAATTTCAAAATGATAAAATGAAACTTCCTGCTAAGATTGCTTGACCACCAAAAGGATATCTCTGTATATTTACTTGGAAAAATATTAGAGGGGGGGGGTCTTGACTTTTTATTCACCCTGTATATAACATTTCTATATCTCTACTTTCACTAATCAAGTGAAATGTTTAGCTTGAGTTGCGTGAAGTCATTACAACTGTTAACACTTTCAGCAGAAAGTATCTCATTCTCTTATTCAAGATAAAGCGGTACAGTCCATCACTTGCTGTCTGTCTAAAGCACAGCAATACAAGAAGATAGTCTGAAAAACCTACCGAGTCTTCAAACATCGGATCAAGTACGGCTTCAAGCTGGTCCAGACGTTTGACAGCAGCAGTAATCTTTTCTCGGCCGGACAGTGCAGATGACACAACACGTTGAACCTCCAACAAAGAGTCAACGGCAGAAGACTGAGGAAGAGCTACATCCTCTCCCTGGCTCTCCCCAAACACTCTCAACTCCAACAACCGCACTCTGTCTTCCAACACCCCAACAGGATCCTCCATTGTGCCTATAGGAGGGGTTTTGTCACTAGTTGTAATCAACATTAAAAATAACACAGATATAACTACAAACAAACCTATGATATGTTTAAGGTGAAATTTTAATTCAATCCATACCTATTAAATATAGATATTGATTTTCTGTTAAAGAGGGCCACTCTTTTACAGTGTGCTGCGGCATTTAGGTTAGGCTGGTTGGTTTAGTTCAGTTTAGACATGAATAGAATTGATGTTTAGGTAAATTTATATCTTAAACAAACTTTGCGACTTAACTCATCAATTACAGTTTTTCTAAAATGATTAGCTATTTTTAACCTTGTTTGTTATTATCATAATCTAAACTTAGCTTGAAACTGAACTAAGCTAATCATCCTGCCAAAGCACAATGGCGAAAGAGTCTTTTTGGAAAGACCCTATGATCTTTAATGTACATATATAATACGCCAAACATACAATCAATATTTATATCACATATAAACTATATATCCAATTTAAACAACCAATATTTTATCCAATAATTTATGGTAAGTTGTGGAACTGTCCCTACAAACCATACACTTGCAATGATAAGTCTAGGAGATTTGGCGGGCAAAAGTATGACTCATCTGACATCGTTTGATCATAACGAAACAAGGAAAGTCCTAAAAACATATTTATGATAACCCAACCTAACATAACCGCCGCAGCGCACTGTATAAAAGGGTGGCCTCCGTATAAAACGGAAGTACCAAATTGAGTTCATCAGCCTATTCTCTTGTTATCCCACCCATTGGCGTCGTCAGCATCAAAACTTTGGGGGGGACAAATGGGGGTCCTCCAGGGGGCTTGGGGGGTGTGGAGCATTTGGAATTTTCAAAGCCGTTTGGTGACTTTCTAAAGCCATTTTTAACACCTAAAACCGTGCCCAACTGTCCATAAACTCCCATTTCACCTGTTGTTTGTCATGAGCAAATAGACATCTTAAAAATTAAACTATGACGATCGCATTAATGAATTTCAAAACACACTGTAGACTACGGTCATATTCTCCTAAAAACCGTCGGGTGACTTTCTACAGCTACGTTTGCCGTAAAAATAAATAAATAAATAAATATTGCTGTCCCACCTTGTACCAGGGTCGGTACATGTTGGGACAAGTGGTATAAAGCGGGACAAACGGTTTTTGGCCTTTTAAATATAGGCCTAAGATAATAATTTTGAAAAAAATATAATTAAAAGTGTTTTAAAAGTGTGCTTTACTTTTGTGTAAGAAGATTCTTCTTCTAAGTCAACTAATATTGAAGAAAAAAAATGTTTTAATATTTTAGTCCCAGTATGTAGGTACCACTCTCTATCTGTGGCACAAACAACCAAATTAAAATATCGATCGATAACTTATATCGAATGAAACAATCGATATTTTCATTCGGTTGTTTGTGCCAACAGATATAGAAGTCTAACCATTAATAATAGACAAGGCCAAACTAACACAAGATAACTTAGGCCTGGACTAACTTAGTGTGAGGATAGGCCTATCCTGTGGGAAAATAAAACGTGTGTCAATAGAGCCTACTGTACTGTATGATGTTTTTTTTCTAAAACAGGATTAGAAATTCTAAGTATAATTAACTTTTAGCAGATGCTATGGTAAAAAGAACTTGAACATATGATGGTTAATATCATATTATTTCATGTTTATAATAGGCCTAGTCTACCCTATGCCTTAAAATAACTCAACTAAAAAGTCAAGCTTGATTTCGACTTATGCTGGCGAAGAAGTTACGTTTTTAACATATATGCCTAAATAACCAATAAGCTCTTGCTGAAGTAATATAAGTAGGCCTACCTTAATATAATATTTTGTTTATTGAGGTGACGTCGGTGTTGTTGGATGGATAGGATAACATAACCTTTAAACCAAACCAATCTGATCTGAAAGTGAAAGAATACAGAAAAATCTTTTGTACTTCGCTGCTTTTAACAGCATTAACTGAATGCTATGCAGCTTTTCCTTCTATTCCCCTCCTTTTCGGATGCCATAGATTAAGAATATGTATATACTGGCTTTCGCAACTGGTTGGGAGGACGCAGTTTATTTACCATTCATAAGAATCATGGTGGAATTCCTTCCACTATTTATAAGAACCTATCCATAAGAATTTTTAATTTACATTTTTATTTTCTCTGTAACCAATAGTCATACAACAGCGCTTCAATATCATTTTTAATCTTTTACAAAATGGTTTAGAAATATATTGCAACATTTAACATTTCCCATAGTCCACCGCAAACTCATTAGGATATAGGTTTACACGTTTTTACAAAAAAGAAATGCCATAAATAGATTTCGTACTCGGTTAACCATGCTAATGGACACGCAAACTTAATATAGTATTCTGTAAATCGATTTTTGAACAGATGGTGTTTTTACCTCTGGTAAATTTAACACAAAAATTAACTATAGGTTTAAATTACCTGTTTTCTGTAAAAACGATCGTCTTGGTAGTAATCATACTACCAAGACGATCGTTTTGACAGAAAACGGGTGATTTAAACCTATATTAGTTTATTCAGACGATCTAGAGGCCATTCCATCATTAAAAAAATTAAATTGGTCCTGGTTCTTACACCCTTATCACCTTGGTCTATGGCTTACCATGAGACTTACGGTAATACAGTCAAAAGGTAACGCCTTATTCCCTATATGAGAAATTTGTATCAAGGTTTTTGTCCAGATTCCAGACGAACATTTTTACCTGAAAATATTTTACCAGAAGGACCGTTTCTTAAATAGTTTTATCAATTTGGTACTTAATGGTGATTGGTGTCGTCAGTAAATGGTAATCGCATTAGCTTGCAATTTTTAATCTATGCTAAGCCTTACTAGATTTTCATAGCTACTTGAATTAAAGGCCACGGTCGCGGCAACAAAATGCCACAATGTCAATCACAATTCACAACAATAACAAACAAACATAACCTAACTTTGTTAACTAACATGAACATTGTAATTGAAACATGTAACTTTTTGTAATAACACCAGCAGCCTGAAGGTAGCTCTTGGTATTTTGGAATTCTATTTTCCAGTGTTTTAATTGTACAAGAAACAGTCAGGAGGTAGCATAAACCATCAACTTGGCTCATTATAACTTAAACTTTACCTTACCTAATTTAAGTGCTGTCACAAATTAACATAAAGGTTAACAGGTTACTCACAACTCATTATTATTAATCCAAATCAACCATACTATACAATCAACGTTAGACATTTCAACATAAAAGTAATATACATTACTTCATAAGGTTGTAAAACTGTTTCCTACAGGTTATTACCAGCACCAGTCCAAAAAACCTCGGACACTGTAAAAGCTTTTAGGGTATTCCTTAGAACCTTGCAGGTAACAAAGAATTCTCTTGACTTGGTGTAAGTTTTTGATGGTTGGACTAGTCACATGCTGTGCCACCATACGAACTGCATAGCAGTCTTTTGCTTTGGACGAAAAGCGTGGACGGACAAATCCATTTATGAAAGAATTTCTTAGTATATCCATTTGAGAATATCTTGGAAACTAAGGCAAGAAGAAATGAATGATGGAGAAGAAATGAATATAACCTTTTTTGTAGAAAATTTTAACATCTTTATTTTTATAGTTTATTTTTTTCCGTACGATGCACAGTTTTCAGTGTAGAAGTAAAACTAAAAAATGTGTCTTTCCCCCCCCCCTCTTTGCTGAAGCAGCAGGGCTTGGGGGCGGGGACTTTTAGTAAGTATTTTTATCTTCTAACTACCCCAAACACATTCCCTCAAAAAAATCCCCCCCTCCATGTCCTCTACAACCCCTTTATTGACTGGATTGATAGGACCGCATAGATCTCCACTATTTCTCCTGCCATTTTTGGCTTTACAGTCCGAGAATGGCGTGTTTCTCTGTGTTGCTTGCCTTATACACAACTTTCACAAATTCATTCTCCGCCTTGACATACGGTAATTCCTCTGCTTTTAATACTTTAACGTGTGTCTTATTTTGAAGAGCCGATGAGCCAGAGATTCAGACCAATCTTGGATGGTTTTCTTTCTGTTTGCTACTGGTTCAGCTTCTGCAAACAGAATGATCAATTTCAATTTCATAGAGTCCATTCACACACAATGTCCATACAGTTGAGCAACGTTATTCTTCATGAAGACACATTTTTCTCTAGTTATGTTGAAACCAAATCTTTGTTCATTGTTGTGCTGACTGACATCAGGTTCCTTCCTAGCTCGGGAACATCATACATTTTCTATAGCTGTGATGTATCGGTTTTTACTGATATATTCATACTTAGTTACTCGAATACTTCCCTCTCCAATGGCCTCAATTAGACTGAGCTATCACATATAAATATAGACTAACAATAATTATATCCGGGTGACATTTAATTGCTAAGCATTTGTTTTGGCTTGAAACTGTCAGATATTGTATTTACCTAATAGGTTTATGTGTATTCCTATAATTGTTGTGCCTGCATATCTGGAAAAATTCACATGAAATATGCAAACCAACTGCTGTTCTGAGAAGGTTTCAACTGACTACAAGTTCCCTGTCTGTAGAACGGGTAGGCTACACAGCTAGTTTTTTATATATCCATGTTAGTTGGGGACAAATAGTTTTACGTTTTTCAAGGAAGTACAGGAAATTCAAAATCACCTCCTCAGCTATTGAAAACATTTTCAACATTTTATAAGACAAACTGTTGTGAATATAGTTATTGCAAAGTGTTTCATCATAGATGATCTACTATATTAATTAATTTATCTATAGTTTCATATCCTTTGTTAAAAAATGATTTAACAACAACTACTTTCAGGGATAATCAAAATGTCCCTTTGACAAAGCTGTGTTTACTTGGTGAGATAACAGTCTAACTTAGACATATTGGCTAATTATCTTCAACATTTCGGGAGGAATTTCATCAACTCCTACCCACGTTTTACTTTCCATTGCATTTTAATGCTTGTGACGGAGGTAAGAAAATATTTTTGAGTTTTGGATTTGTTGTTTGTCATTGCATATTATCCCCTGGGTAAAGTGTTTATTGAGAGCCTAACATACTGTTTTTCTGCTCATTAATTTAATCTCCTCTATTTACAAAATGAGTAGTTTTTCACTCTCTCCCATCGTTTTGTCTATTACCATTTAATTGTTATCCAGATGGTCTTGTTATAGAAGTTTGGTTCAGGTTGTTTGGATGGGTTAAAACTTAGATTAGATGTGTGTCAGTTTTTTAGGTGAGTGTATTATGCGTAGGCCTACATCAATATAATGTCTGTACTTTTATTTTTAGGAAATGATTTCAGTAACTGACTCGTTCTTTGAATTCAAAAGGGAAGTGTCAAATCCTAAGGTCAAGCTGAGCTTTGAATGGTTGCGTGAAAACTGCAGGTAGGTCCTAACTTACGGAAAATGACTCAAATATTCTAGTCAAATTCTGTTGTCGACCATCAAAATAAATTAGCAAGCTTAAAATAATTTTTGTTCATTACTTGATCATTTAGTTTTGTATAAACGTGTGTGCTTTCTTACAACAAAATGGACCCTAGTATTTTTAATTATGCATTTCAAAAATATTAGAAATTTTTTATGGAGTTTACCTTATATGATCTGTAGGACCTATGAACAAAAAGTTGTAGTTCAAGCTGCTACTTCAACCCTGAAGCTATACTCCGCGCGCGATAACTTTTCACTTGGGACTTGCACAACTTGGCAACGCTGCAGGGCTCGCTACCCCATCCTATACCTGTCACATATCGAGCCAAAGCGACAAGAAGCGGGCGCTCGCCTCGGCGGTGCGACGTTGCCGATACAAAATTCACACGGAACACCAAAAATCCCAAGTGCAAAGTTATCGTGCGCGGACTATAGCTGATAGCAAGTCTATAGGATATATTGTATGTATTCTGTGCCTTGATTTGGTAGTTGGCTAGAACCATAAAAACATGATTTTTATGCACAGCTAGCCTGTTTGACATCTCTGTCTGAAGACAATAATTGCATTTTAGCATGGTATATAACTGTTAAATGCGTTAGGCCTAACTGTTTTATGCTAAACCTGTTTTAGTTGCCTATATCATATGTTGATACTGGTATTATGTATTTGGAGAGGTTTTAATCACTTAGCGGCCTATGGGAATATAAAATAAAAAGCTATTCAAAAAGCAAAAAATTGATTTGTAAGATCATAGCAGGGAAAACAATGTAACAAACACTATTGTAACATGTTAGGGAGTATTTTAATGAAAAATATGTAAAATTCAGATAACAAAACCACTGATATTTTTTGTCTACTGTATTGGCCGTCATAGGTAGTATTTTATTTAGAAATATCAGTTGAGATTTAAAAAATGTTATCCTCAGTGTCATCAACATGCAATGTGAGGAAAAATATATTTTTGAATCTTCTGAATATAGTCTATGATATTATTCTTGCAATAGGATCACACATGGATGAGCCAGCTGAACTCTCATCTCCTTTTAAAACTCCCTTGTTTGAGAATCGTCTTTGGGAGATCCACAAATGTATTCAAAGCACTCTCCTCACCTGTCTGAACAATTCATTGTTATAGGTGCAATATTTGCTACAACAATATAACCAACCAACGTAACATAAGAATTATTGACATAGATCCCAGTATACAGCCGCTCAATTTTTCTACTTGTGGAAAAGAATTTGTTGTTAACTGTGAGTAAACAAGTTTTAGTACCATAGCTGGTATGATTAACCGACACATATGAATCAAGTTGACTTGAAGTAATACAGGGTGATTCAAAAAGGACTTTACAACTTTGAAAATTCATATAAATCTTATTAAACAAGGTACAGAGCTGGTTTTGGTGTTGTTTTAAACGAAAACACTTAAAGTTTTTTTACCTTAAACTAAAGATGTTCTATGTGACTTCCGTTGGATTTGGGGAAAATAATTATTTAGGTATGAAAAAATTGTGAAAACCGTTAAAAATGTGAGAGAAATTTACAAAATGTTGAGAGTAGGGCGTTTTTTGACGGTGAAGGATTGCGATACACCCACTTCTAGATGTGCTAGGGAGTTGAAATTTAGCACACTTGTAGTTCTTGGTCCCAAACCACCCATAAAATTCCAAAAAGTTGCATTTTCAAATTTCAACCCCCCCAAAAATCCAAATGGCGTACCTCTGAAAACGACAAAACACGTTTTTTTTCAAACGGCTATAGCTTGAAAACGGTAAGAGCTATAAAAGATTTGAGGATAAAACGTAGGTTCGGAATTAAATTTCCTACAAGACACTAACTATGCGTTTTTCAAAAATCGCACTCCTTCACCGTCAAAAAACGCCCTACTTTCAAAATTTTGTAAATTTCTCTCAAATTTTTAGCGGTTTTCACTATTTTTTCATACCTAAATAATTATTTTCCCCAAATACAACGGAAGTCACATAGAACACCTTTAGATTAAGGTAAAAAAACTTGAAGTGTTTTCCTTTAAAACAACACTAAAACCAGCTCTGTACCTTGTTTAATAAGATTTATATGAATTTTAAAAGTTGTTAAGTCCTTTTTGAATCGCCCTGTATTTTTAATGACTGGTTTATATATTTATTAAACATTAAAAAGGCCTAATAGAATATTAACAAAAAACACTTTAAACTGAATTTGTTTACAAAATTTAGAAATATTTATAAGATCTTTATTTCAAGGTATTTGTCAAGATATTTAAAGATATTTTTGGAATATTGTAATTTTAAAATATGATAGCTAACCGTACCTAATAATTTAGCTGGGCAAACATTTTGATTAATCAATAAATATTTTCTTGTTACTTTTGTGTTAGGAAAAACTACAAGTTTTTATCCCATCTTATTGAACTCTTTGAAAAAAAAAATAGGCCTACACAAATATGGTTCTAAAGCTTTTTTAAATTATTTTATTTTACTTGTTTTGACTATTTTCGCTTTTGTTTGATCCACTGTATAGTTTTTAGTTTTTACTCATTTATGTTATACTGTTCATGCAGATAAATTGAAACAGACACTAACTCGTCATGTAAATTAAAGTTATATCCTTAGTTTCTTTGAAATTGTAGTAGTAAAAATAAATAGACAGAGTTAATAAACCCTTAATTTCTATTTCTGTAGAATAAAAAATTAGAAAACCCAACTAGCAAATCCTCAACCACATGCCTATGTGAAACTCACAATTTTTCCCGCAGGGAGCGATGGACATAAATCTGTGTATGATTTGGAATGGATCACAAGCCAGACCAAGGTGGAAAGTGGACCTCAAGAAGTACTGTGGTCCGGGGACGTGTCACGAGAGGTAGAACATGTGACGGCCAATGAGGTGAAGTCTCAACATGGCATTTCTAGGCTGGTCAAGTCACTTCTGCGGTTTGGAGTTGGGTTTGTCACTGATGTGAGCAAGTTATCATGAGATTCTAAAGTGCACAGTTAGGAAAATATACACAAACTAACTTACCCAAGAAAAGAGCACCAGAGTTCAGACTGATAGCAGCACTCAAAAAGTTAATGATAAAATTAATAAACGATAAAATTAGATATTTCACGACTACAATGATACAATGGGGCTTCAGACGAAAGTAGTCGTTAAAATTAATTGTGTTGTTAAGTTTTTGTGAGCTGTCAGCGGTGTGGAACTGTTTTATTGGTACCTAAGCTAGTTCCTTATCCATAATTTCTTCCTTATTCATCTAAGTGCTTTTACTCCAAAAAACTAAGCCTACAGTTATACAGAATTTTAATGATATGGCGGGGGGGGGGGGGGGGGTGTTAATTGTTGTAACATTAGTTTAGAGAAAAATCAAATGTTTCCTGTATGTATCCCTTCAACCTTTTAGTTAAACAGTTTTTTTTACATTGAAATAAAATTTTTACTTTGAAATTAATTTTAGCCAGAGATTTTTTACACAATTTGTTTCTGATCATGAAAAAGCTAAGTATCTTCGTTTGTTTAGTGAATTGAAGTCTTTGGTTTGTAGATTTTTGTGCAGTGGACGTTTTGACGAAAATTTAATACAACTCCTCCTCATTGAATTATTGTTTAGGTTGTAGTAAGTAATTATAAATACCAGATAATTGTTACGGATTACACTGGCCTGAATGGGCCGATTTAATAAAGAATATCTCATAATTTGCCATTGTTAAATATCTTCTTAAAATTCACATTTCTGATCCAAGGTGGAGCCGAGCGTAGCTGCCACTGAGGAAGTGATCCGCCATGTTGGTCCTCCGCAGCACACCCTGTTTGGAGCAATGTGGGAGTTCAGTGACCAGATGGATCACCTGGACACAGCCTACACAAACCTAGCGTTAGACCCTCACACTGACACTTGCTACTTTATAGAGCCTGCAGGGTAGGCCCTTCTTGCCAATCTTTCCAGATGTAATTTTAATGACTAGACTACTTACCTCTTGTCGTTTTATTACCGTGATTATTATCTTACGTTTCTCTACGACTGTTGCATCATCAGGTGGCAAAATACAAATAATATTTTGAGACAGTTTTTTCAAAGGTATTATGTTTGTCAATGACAAGTTGGGCAAATTTAGATCTCTGCAGGGCTGTATTTAGAATCTATGAGGCCCCGAGCGGCTCTCATCAGAGAGGCCCCTCTTTATTTTCTAATTCTTCTAAGGTCGGAACTTAAGTGCTAAGAAATACACGTGGTATTGCTTCAACTTTATGAACTGACCTTTTCTTGTTTGAACAATCCGATCGGCAAAAAAGACTAAAAGACAATCGCGCCATTGCGGAGACAACATCTTTGTCTTCTGTGATCACGGCAAAATCTCCTGTGGTTGCAGACAACAGTGAACGTTTTGCGCGATCGCGGGGACATCATATTCATCTGTCTTCTCCAATCACGGTGGAATCATGAAAGTCTTTTTTGGCCGTGGAGAAAAAGCATCTTGCCCAAACGCGTAGACGTAATCTTCGTCTGCTCCGATCGTGGCGTAATCATGAACTAATGTGGCCGTGAACATCTTGCACGATCGCAGAGACATCATCATCATCTTTGTCTCCTCCAATCTCAGTGAAATCAAATCATGAACGTCTCCTGTAGCCGCAGAGAAATAGTTAGCATCTTGCGCGAGCGCTGAGACGTAGTCTGAATAGTGACAACTTCTACATTTACGGCAAAATAGTGAAGATCTTTTGCGGTTGCGGAGATTTCATCAATGTCTTCTGCAATTACGGCAAAACAGATTATCGGTGGAATAAATTTATCAATACAAAATTTTTAGGCTCTAAGTGAGGCCCCTTCTAGGTTGAGGCCTCCCGCAACTGCCGTGTCAGCCGTTAGGGAAATACAGCCCTGGATCTCTGTTCATGGGCCAATGGGTCCTTCATAAAAGTCAGAACAGTAAGTACATTTGACCTTGTAACCCTCTATGAAGTTGAGGGGGACTTGGTAGTGGGTTCTTATCGTTATTTTTATTGTTCCCTGTTTTTACAGATTGATAATCTTCCATTGTATCAAAAGGAACTGTTCAGGAGGTCAAACAATTCTGGTGGATGGGTTTAGAGCCGCAAGACAAGTTGAGGTTGAGCATCCTCAACATTACGAGTGTTTGAAGACTGTTCACACAGAATACCAGTACATAGAGAAGGGCTATCACCTGTCACAAATGTCCCCCGTCATCAGCCATTGGCCTGAAGGAAAGATTAAACAAATTAGGTAAGTTTTAAATTATTATTATTATTTTTTAAACGTGAACAAAATGCTTTAAGATATTTTTAAATAATTTAAACTACTGACTCTCACAGCAAAAGCTAAGCTCCATATAGGGAAGCTATTACCGTAGGTCTCATGGTAAGACCTGGACCCTAGACCGATTTACTTCAATTTGAGGTCCCCTGAGGCCAAAAACTTCCTCCGTTCAAATTCATATATATCAATGAATATATGATTGTCGCGATAACTCAAGCAAAAATTAACCGATTTTGAACGGGATTTTATGGAGGGGTTTCTAAGGTAAAAATGAGTTTCCCAGTCTTGACCTTAAAAAAAATAAATGGCAAACGTAATGCTAAATAATTATTCAAAGAAAATAAATGATTCCGTCAGTAGGCCTTCAAACAAGTGAAGAAAACTTCAAATTTTGTCGTAGCTATCTAGACTTATGGTTCGTCAGGTAGGCTAAAACAATATTATGAATATTTAAAATTGAAATAATTTTATTCAACCAATCCAAATTTTTTTTAAATTTTACTCTTTCATTTGTAATTGGAAGTTTTACAAGACTTTTTCACATTCATTGCATTTATTACAATACGATAAATAGGCCTACAAGCAAACAAACATTATGTTTGTATTTTAGTACAAAAATCACTATTATATGCCATTTAAATATCTTTCATTCATTCTATAGAGCAGTGAAAACAGCAAAACTCCCATTTAAGTTATAGTCTAGCGCATGTGAAGATAGACCCAGACGGGGTGTGATTGCGGCGTTGCCAGTTCGAACGTCGCGGCCTTTTATTAGAGGTGGCTGTGATTAAATTCAAAGTGTAAATTATTAATAATTCCCATGTTATTCTTATGGAAACTTTTGTAGTTTGCTTGTTTATAGATGAAATGAAATTTGGCTATTTTGTTTATTTCATACTAAGCTATCAAAATTTTAATTAAGAAGAAACACCTCATTCCTCTGTTGCAGCAAACCGAAGTACTAATTAAAATAATGTTATATAAATAGGAGATAAATCTGACAATTTTAAAGGACTATTTTATTGGAAATATAGCAATTTAAATGAAAATTCGCTTAGTCTGCAGGTCTGCTGTGTTGGGGGTATTTGTTCTATATGCATGATTCATGGTTGATTACAGATACAACCTGTATGACCGAAGTGCCAGGCAGGTTCAGCCAAGTAGTGAGACATCACAGTTCTACAAGTCCCTCCGCAGCCTCACCTCTGCAGTAGTGAACCCTGCAGATCAGTGGAGACTCACTCTAGTGCCAGGGACTGTAGTCTTCATCAACAACTGGAGAGTGCTGCATGGCAGGTCAGCCTACACTGGGGCTCGCACTATCACTGGCGCTTACGTCACTATGGGCAACCTGCTTAGTCGGGCTAGGCTGTTGAGGCTGCTACTGTGATGAGGATTGTTTACCGTAGAAGTTTTAGCAGCAGATTTAAGTTTACCAAAGGTTAAAAGTTTAGCCAGAGAACAAGCAGGGAGTTGGAATAATTAAGTTTACCAATTCTGAAAGGGGCAGACTTAGACTTTTAAGATCTAGTCTTAGATTAATTTGATCGGAGTTGCAAGATAATCAATTCTACAAGGTCATAGCTAGGTGAAATAGGAGGGCTTAGCTTTATTCAGGAACAATAGGGGTCCATAGCAAGAAGACTGAAAATGAAAATATATACGGAGTTACTACAAGGAAAATTATTGCTTTAGTTTATAGATCCCCTTACTATTATTCACACAAGAGAGGACTCACATATTTTTTTAACTTAAATGTTTCAAAATTGCATCAGTGGTAAATAACTGGGGACAGCAACAAAAAGAAAACTGGCTTCTATTTATTTTTGCTTTGAATACACCACTGGACAGTTTTGAAAATGTAAAAAAGAAAAATATGGATTTTCCCTGGGAAGATATTAGAGGGTAATTCACAAAAGTTTTCCCTGAGGAATCTTACAAGTTGACTTTGGCGAAACTAAATTCTGGAGTTCAGGTGCTGTTAACATTTGTTATTGAATATCTGGCGGACGTGGAGAAACTATGATCTGGTCTAAATGCTGAGATGTCAGAGGCTAAAATTTAATGTTCTCTTAGTAAATCATTTTCTAAAAAAATAATATAAATAATTTATACTGTGTTCCATATTTAAGTACGGATATGGTAACCTTGTCCATAAGAAGTCTGTAAAAAATACTGGTAATTTAAATTTTACATATGCATTTATGGTGTTGATGAATAGAAAATTGTTGTGAACTTGTCTTGATTTGAATTGATAGTGTCAAGGAATAAATTATCGTCAGGCAATGAGATTATACTGTTATAATATGTATTGCAATGGAGGGTAGCCTAGGCAAGCTAGGTTGATGACCTGTTGTCAGTCCTTGCTACCTCGGAAGCGTGCCGGAGGTGTTTTCGTAAACACTGAGGGTTTTGCACCGAGTAGCTATCGGGTTCAATAAATAGGCCACCAGAGGTAGAGAAAGGGGTCAGTCGGCCAGGGCAGGGTGCCCAGAAGAGTTGGGTGAGTACTGGTTGCTCTATCTTAGGGTTAGGCCCTTTAGCTGGGAGTTTTTTTTGAGGGAAAGTTTTATTTAAAGGGTATTAAGAGTTAATCTTTTTAAGATATTTTGATTGATTTATAAATTACGTGGAAGAAGATTCGTTTTTGGGAATTTTAAACTCAAAGTTCTAGCTGCCTCCAAGATGTTTCCAATCAGCCATTCATCAGTAGGTTTGTTGATAATAATTGTTTTATTGTTGTTAGAACAGTTAAGAGGGTTCCCTACCCCCGCCGAAAAACGTCAGAAAACCGCTTCGCGCGGTATCATATAGCGATTCTAGTTTTAACATTTAAATTATGAACCAAACACTATTTTGTACATAAAGAGTGGTTCTACTAAGTTTGCTTTTTAAAAAATGTCTATGCTTACGCAATCAAGGGCAACGACTTGTCAAAGTTAGTGAACTTTACAGTTAAATAATAATATCTTTTTATGAAATTATCGATTTTTAATCAAGCAATATTAGTGCGAAATTTAACTAAAAATATCAAGTCACTTTTAGTTTCAAGAAAAGATTATTTTTTGTATGTGCAAAATGAAACCGCGTAAAACCTTGCACGGCGAAAAGTGATATGATTCTGACGGACTCTAGCGGCCTTTATCGAAACTACTGTCTCGCGGAGGGACCACAATAATGTTAAATGGACCAGCAGACAGCAATCCTAGGGAATATTTTGTCGTCTTGTAGTTCCAACTAAACTCACCAGGGTCGCAGAAAATTGAAAACAGTTCGAGGTAGGGAACCCCCTTAATTACTTTGAGAGAATAAAAAGTTCAGTACTTTGAATTTAATCTGGTCATTAATCTCACAAATTTATGAACCGATTTTCAATTTTTTTTCATCAAACGTTTTCTTTTTTCATGCTCTTTAATTTGATATGTCACAAGGGGTATCTTGCTATTTAAAAAAATTAAGTTGGGGGCAGGGGGGGAAATGGGGGGAATGTAAATGTAACGTTGAATTTAAAAAAATTGTGCCCCCCTACGTCAATAGATGATTCCCGCCAACTGCATATTTCTATCTATTGCGGTTTTTACATAAATAAAGATGCAAGTTTAAAAAAAAACACCCTGTATAATAATTTCTAAAACTGATTTTACAAAATTATCATCAATTCCCAAAAGAATCGGTTATCATAATTTATTTTTGTATTCTTGTATTCTTTATGTCTGATTTAAAGTAATTGTGTGCCACAACATAATTTAGTCAGAAAGAAGAAGTATAATCCTACTATATATATATATATAATATTATAAATGAGAAAGTTTGGATGTATGGATGTATGGATGTATGGATGTATGTTTGTGACAAGTGAACGCGAAAAATACTGGTTGGATTGGGCTGAAATTTGGCATGATGATAGCTCACATTCCCGATTAACATATAGGCATATTCTTATTTCAAAAATCCTTTCGGGCTCCGCCCCAGTGGCTCTGGAGTTTCCCATGTTAACCTTATGAGAAATGGAATTATTGAATCTTAACAGCTGTTTCAATTAAACAAGTTTGTTCTGTTCTATGATGTTCAATAGCATTAAAGTTACAAGGATTACCAACAGGTTGTAGCACTATTATTTCTTTAACATTTATGACAACAGCTAATTTGCAACCAAAAGGTGAGTGAGCGTAGCGAACGAACTTCAACCTGGAGGCGAGTTAGCGTAGCGAACGAGCTAACCTGAAGGCAAGTGAGCGCAGCGAACGAGCTCCAACCTAAAGGTGAGTTAGCGTAGCGAACAAACTTCAACCAGGACGTGATTGAGCCATGCGAACAAGATAATCTTGAAAATTAAGAAGTTAAACGGGGCAAAGCCCGCGGGTTACAGCTAGTCATATATATTGCTGAATGTGTTAAGATTTTAATTAAGTTATATTTTGATTTTTTTAACTAACCCTAACGATTGAGCAGTGTTTAGTTGTACCTACAATATTTGTATTATGATTAATGTTATATAACTGCTTGTATAGCAATTATTGTAAAAAAGTATGTGGAATGAAACAAAACCTGTTTTATGTATATTTAATAAACTGTTTCTTCAAAAGGTATTATTTTTTATTACTTCCCTACCGATATTTTAAAATAAAGATCTACTAAGCTATAGTATTCCAAAGCACTTATTCTTCTAATTTTTTGTTCATTAATTAACAAGAATAGAACTTATAAAAGTATTATTAATGATAGAGTCATAGTGAGAAAGCTAATCTTTTAAATAATAAAAATTTTGAGCACTAGTTAGTTACATTCTGATCCTACTTTTAGCGCATGTTGGAATAAAATATAAAGATCAGATTATCGGTAAAATTGTACTATTTTGGATTACCACTGATAATACCAAAGTTACTTACTTTTCTAAGTATAACCTATGTTTTCTCAGAAATTTAAAGACTTTTTCAACAGTAATTTTACATAGCCAGATTACTTAGTTATTATTGTACAATAGTATGTATAATGTAGTAAAAAAATATTTTAATATACAGCTATGTTTCTTTTTTTACAATTACAGCGTTCTCAGTACAGAGACATCATCTCCGATGCAACCAACTTCACAGTTTTTCTTTTTGCAGTTGCTGCGTTGCCTTACGACATTGTCAATCAATGATTGTATCAAGTCCTCAGTCAATTGGTTACCTCTCTTTCGTGGCCTACCCGGGGAAAATTTTAGCACCCGATCTACAGCTCTAAATCTTCTAATAATTTTGGAAAGTTTGTTTGGGCAAAACGCAAATAAATATCTATTGTAGACATACGATTCCAGCATGCTGAGGAAGTCAATTTGCTTTGCGAGCCGTCTAGCTCTTCCTTGCTTCTGAAGCATGGCAATGTCGCTGACCGCTATACCAACCAGAAGATTCATTAAGACGATCGCCATCAACACCATGAAGTACAGAAAGATGCCACGGCCCACCACAGCATTCATACCATTTACTGTCCGGAACATCTTCTCATAGTCTAACTCAAAGGTCATGACCAGGACCTTGGTGAACGATCCCCACACGTCTGTGAACTGACCGGAGTCTCGGAAGTGGATCATGAAGGTGAACATGAATCCAAGGATGACAAACAGAAACGTAGCCAACACCTAGAACAGAACACATAGGACTAGTGCATCTTGCAAAATATGTTTACGATTTATGCTATGCCAAATCTTAAAATGTGTGAAAGGAATATATTTTAGTGATATTCAAAATTCAATTCCAGGGCCTAGGGGCGCAAGAACGTGAGAGACTCTCTGCAAGGAAGGGGTAGTGGGTGCAGTCATCTCTTGGAGATCCTACCAGCATGTCAAATGAAAAATGGGTTGTCTGCAAGAAACAAATAGTAAATTTAATTTAATTTCACATAGGTACTGTCCAATCTTCTATTGTATCTTATGTATTGACAAGACTTGTTCAGTCCTTATGCTGTGTGTAAAGATATTGGGTGCAATACCGTAAATACATTTCTGGCAACAGTGAAGAACATGACGATGTAGAATCCAAGAGTGGAAGGCCAACGGGAAAGAAGAAAAAGAAGCTCTAGCCAGGACAGAAGCACAGCAACTGACGACACTTGGGCCAGCCATTCGGCAGGATGATCGCCCAGTAGCACTAGGAAGGACAGCAAGAAGGAAGACCACTTGATCCAGGATTCCAGGTCCTTGAAGTAGTAACGCTGCATTCTGAACGCCTGGAGAAGCTCCTGATGAAAAATTACAGACATGGTTTACAGTAAATAAACTTATTTTAATGTATTTAAAGCAGTTATTTTTAACTTATAAATTGTTGTATTTGATTTTCACTAAACTAGATATTGTGTATTACCTAGTTAGGTTTTAATCTGAACCGTCCTGTATATTAAAACGTGAAGGGGGTTTTTACTCAAGAATTCTTTTTTATTTAGTGTTTTTTTTACACCAATGGTATTTTTTACGTTTTGAAAGGGAACGGACCCAACCCTCGTCTTGTTACTATCTACATTATCCTTTTTGTTGGATAGCACCATTAGTTCTTAGCCCGATGACAAATGGCATCTGGGTGGAAATGATTTCGCTTGGAATCGAACCAGCGACCTTTAGATTTAAGGCGAGCACTATCAACCACTTGGCTACCTAGAAAATTTCTGTATTCTTTAGTAAAAGCTTGACAGATTTTCATGATTCTTCTTTTGAAGTAAAGAAAGATTGAAGGATGATTCATTTGGAGGAAGGATTGATAAAAGCCATAACTTTAATTTTGGGTTTCAGCTTTTTAGAAGTTTTATATTTTTTTTTGTCTAAAAAGTATACCTTGTTTGGTGAATAGAAGCTTCAGTCCCCCCCAGATGAATATTTAGAGAACACTTCTTGAATCGTGCCAAAGAAAGTGAAAAGGAAAATTACTAAAAGGACTAAGAAGAGTTTTGGAAGCCTGATTCCCTTTGCCCCAAATGACACAGAGTTGAGAGTATACAAGAATTAGTGCAGTGCCACTGTTGAACGTTGTTATTCAACATATTAGTTTACTATAAACTAACAAACCTGTATGGTAATGATGAGGAGAGAGATTCCCAAAGTGAAGCTACAACCACAGGTTACCAAATACAAGAATCTTGAATGTATCTGTCCCCAGAGAACATAATAACACATTGCCATTGAGGTGAGTGACAAGGTAAACATCATATACAGTGCCATTATGACGAAGAAAAGAACTCTCATCCTCCTCCATTTTAGATGTAGAAAGGTTTGAATCAGAGGGTGTAACAGCACGTTTTCTTGCACTGCACATTTCTTACAGTTCAACAAAGAGTCTAACACTTTCATTTGTTTCCTATTTGGTCCGAGAGGTTGAAGAATGTCATAATTCACTTTTATCTCACACTCGTTGCTATTCAACGGGTATTCATTGACTTGAATGTAGCAGTCAAACACATCATTAACAAAGGCAGCTGGATCAAGTATGTTGCAAACAATTATGTCAAAAGCTGTTCTTTTTTTGAAATCTGAATCCAAAACGGTTGTCGCCAAATTCGCTCCGTTGAGTAACATTATTTTGACACATTCATGGTTTGAAAACCTAGCCGCAACGTGTAATGGATACCATTTATCTTCGTTTTTAGCCTTGAGGGTGCTTAAATCGTGATTTACAATTGCTAGGACTATCTTAGAATGCCCTTTCATGGCAGCGATATGTAAGGGCGTTGATTTGCGGTAAGGACACTGGAAGGACACTTTGTGCACATCACATCCTGCAGCTAAAAGGACATCCGCACAGGATGTGGATCCCTCCAGAGCCGCTAGGTGGAGGGCAGTCAAGCCACCATTCTGCTCGTTGGTCTGTGAGTTCTTGAACATTGCCATGCGAGGGTACTTCAGGATTTCTGCCAAAACTGAGCTGTGACCTCTGATGGCACATAAGTGTATGAGACTGCACTTTCCAGGCAGCTTGATAGTGACGTCTGCTCCCTTGGCAAGAAGAACCTCCACACAGGCCAACTGACCCATGGACACAGCCCAGCTTAGTGGTGTTTCATGGTGTCTGTTGCGTGCATCGATCATCTGGACAGATAAAAGGAACTTTAGACATAAGATTGCAACAGTACTTCCATACGATTTTGTGGAAGAGTTTTTAAGCGAGTCTTCAGAAAATTACGGAAACAGAAGCGACTTTACTAACTAACCTAATATAGGTTCCACGTGGTAACAGCGCACAAACATATTAAAACACAATTAACTTGATGTTTTACCCATTCAACTCTCCACGGGGCTTCTTCATGAGAAAAAAAGATGAGTTTTATTAACATTTGTGTGATATCAACTGATTAAAACTATTTTCTAATGTGAGTTACAGTATCCTCCCTTCTTCCTTAACTCATAAGCTTAAACCATAAATTAAACAACAACTTGTACACAGTGTATTAATTTGATGATTTGATGATGAAATTAAATTCAAATTGTAATGAATGTTTACTTGAACTAATGTAAAAACCATGTCTACAAAATAAAGAAACTCTATTGCATCTTCTTATATAGTAACCAATAACTTTACCTATGGTTATTACTTTTGATTTCACAATTTAAACTATCGAGTGACATTATTGGTGAACGGTACTTACATTGACTGCTTCCCTGATTGTAAGTAGCTCCTTCAGCAGATCTGGCTGATGAGTAGCCACAGCCATGTGTAACACTGTTTGACCATCACTAGAAGTGACCTTTACATCAGCTCCAGCCTCCAACAGATGACTGACTCCTGGCAACCACATCTGGGCAACAGCGAGATGTAATGGAGTACGCCCTTGGAAGTCAACGGCATCCAGTACCTGGTGATAAAGTGATAAGAAACAGATTGTTTCTAGAGTTAGTGATGGAAATGCATACATAAAATTAAGTCAAATTTTTAAGTATTCAATTGTTCTAAAACCTTCCAAGTTAAATTAACTGGTTCCCTGGTTCCCTCGAATAGTTCTAAAAACCGCTTAATGTAAAGAGGGACTTCATTTTTGGAATATTAAACTTTAGCAAGAAACGTAAGGCTTTATGTAAAGTGACCTAATTAGAGTGTTAATTTTACCTGTGCTGTTTTTTAAAAGGGAATGCTATAAAATATTTATTAGATGCAGCTTAGTAAAAAATATTATTCAAGGAGTATAAAACAATCACTTTAGCAATCAATTCTAAAACTTGTTACCTGTACGGATTGATTTTTCTCCAATATAATTCTGAGGGGCTCAAGAAGACGTTTAGATACTGCAAGATGAAGTGGTGTAAGGCCATCACCATTCAAAATACTCAGACTAGCTTCATTATCAAGCAGAGAAATTCAATTAGCTGTGAATCCTCTTGCAATACAGCAGTGTGAAGGCAGTTAACTTCCATTGTAACTTGGTTTTCAACTCCTTGACTTAGTGCTTTTCCGTATTGTAAATTTAGCACCTTTTTGCAATAAGCAGTTAATAATGTTTTGCATGTCACTAGGTGTTTTTGAGGACTTAGACAAGCCAACTGCCTTTCCTATTGTTATTTCTCCCACCACATCCAAAGGAGTTAAATCTCTTCCATCTTTAACATCAACTTTAGCTCCTTGTTCAAGCAAAAGTATTACACAAGTTAAGTTGACTCTTTGAGCAGCTTGGTGAAGAGGAGATGATTTTTGTGCAACTTGAGGAATCTGCAAATTAAATTTGAACAAACTATACAATCTTGCTAAAAAAGTTTTATAGTATCTTAATATAGATGGGTGGATAGCTGAATCATTAGACATTACTCATCCTATAATTATAAGTTAAACCCTAACAAAGTTGTCATTGATCTTTCATTTGTTTTAGCTTTGCCCAGTTATTATTGACAATTGGGATTTTTAGTAAATTACCTCAACCAAAGAAACATTTTTTATTGTGTAAAGAAAGCTATAACCAGGCATATATTTTTTCTCTTAAGAGGTTGGGGGTCTTTTTTACTTTGCATTTGTCCATCTACATATGCCTCGCACATTGATTGCACATAAATATGGCTTTGTGTCACTGTCTTTAGTAGAGTAACATCCCTGAAAGAAAAATAGTTAATTGTCGTTTCTCTTACAGGTAGTAGGCTAAGTAATCAAAACGCGTCTGGCTCAACCACGACTAAACTCGATAGCTTTTTAATAGTTCAAAATAAAGCCCAACCGTCCTCATCATTGGACTTTTCATAAAAATGGTCCTGGATGGTAGTGGTCAGTAACAAATACACACTCACACTGTATATCTATTATATTGTTTTTTTTTTTTTATATGTACAAACCAAAACTTTTTATTAATAATTCCCTAATACAAATCAATTAATATTGGTAAGACAAATTATATGTATAAAATAATAAAGTGAAGGCTTAATAGAGCAACGAGGGAATTTCTGCACCATCTTCAAACTGAATGCTTAAAATTTTGTGTTTTGTTCCTCAAAGCCTAAGCGAAACTGCTCGAATGATGGAAATCTGGCTTTGGATCCTTAACCACCAATAATTTGGGAGTATGGTTTTCAATTAGTATTAATATAATAATAAATCAATTCATACCAACCTTGTCAGAGACAGAGCTATGATCGTGGCTCCAGCAGTCTAGACTCAGTGTGTCCTCAGCCTCATATGAGGGCACCACCTGACTGTTGACCATGTCGGAATCTTGTTGCAGCAGCAGACGTAACAACACTGGATCGCCGACAGCTGCTGCCACATGGATGGCCTGTCTACCCTCCAGGTCACGTCGCTGGACGTCTGCCCCCGAGGACAGCAGCAGTCTTGCGATGTCCTCATGTCTGCAAGCCACTGCTAGATGTAGTGCGGAGGTAAGGGTTGGGCGACAAGTGGCGTTGACTGATGACCCTGTTTCTAGACATCTGCAAAATGAATTGAACGATGACAGACTGGAAACAATTCCGTAGTTAGGGGTCATACATCATGTTTTGGAGTGAGATTTTGAAGTCTTTTACAAGACAAGGGTGGTTACAATATAAAAAGACAAGGGTGGTAATTACAATCAAAAACTCATTTCCAATATCTGAGTAGCCTCATACCAGACCACTCATGTTTCTTAATTTAAAACATTGATCCTTCACAGATTGAACCAAACACAATAAAAGGATGTCACTTTTTGAAACTAATTTTTTTTTAGATTAGATTTTTTTATGATCTTTAACAAAATCTATCTTACAATGTTGTCAAGCAATTCACTCTATATTCGTGTTGTGTCGTGTGTGAGATGAATTATTAAAAAATCACTAAAGAATAATATCATGGCGGACATGATATTCCAAGCTGAAAGTTAATTAAAGCAAGAAGAAAAAGTTAACATCTATAATTACTTCCATAGCATTCAAGAATGGAATTAAAGAAGCCGAAACCCAGGTAATCCACTTCAAGAACAAGTCTCACTTTTGACAGAAATTTTTGTATGAGGGAACATCTATATGAAACAGCTCTGATGATCACTGATGACAAATTAAACTATTACGGTAATGAAAAGACAAACAGTAAATAGCAAAAAAATCTGAAAAATAATAATAACTTTACCTTTTTACTGAATCTGTGTTTCCAGCCAAGACCTCTATTAGCAGTTCAGCGTTGAGTCGTCCTCTCCGCCGGTCGTCCCTTGGCTCGGTCTCCAGACCAACGCTGGGTGAGATTGAGCCTCGAGGTGCCTGAGGGGAAGGTCCCTGTGGAGGCGGTGACATGTCCAGCACATGGTGTGACAGTGACATCAGCTGTTCTGTTAGATACAATGATAACACAAACAAGACACACCCAGGGTGATTAATTAGTGAGCTGAATTGTTAATGGCAGCCTAATATTTTAACAACTGGTAAAGAACATCCTGCACGATTGCATTGAATTAAAATACTGTATGAATAACGCTCGACATATAAAGACTTTATAAAGTGTTAACCTGTAATGTCAGGTCATGTTTAAGTCTGTTTGAAGTGATATTGACGAAAAAGGTTCTTTTGAAGGGGAAAATGTTATTGTTTACGTTTTAATTTTGGTTATATCACCAGAGAACAAGCTATAACTTATATATGGTAAGTTAGACAATGAAAAGACTAGGGGTTGGATCATCCATTTTTAGATAACATAAAAAATGTCAACGGTTCAAGGAAACGAATATTAAAAATAATGTTAATAAATTTCTAAATTTAAAGGTAATCTACATTTGTCTGACAGAAACGTACTTTGGAATAGTTTTTCAGCAACCATAAGTTGTTCAATGTTCAAGGGGGTATTATTCATTATTTATTGTTCATTTGTTCATTGTAATTAGTCACCATAGCTGTTTTGTGTAAAATGTACATTCCAAATTTTTTGTAAAATCTCTGACTCGTTCTTGAGTGCATGACCTGGGTTTTTGCTCTTCTTAAGCCATAATAATTTCTTTCACAGGCTTAAAGTTATCTATATTTCGATGTTATAAAATGATTTTCACACACCGAACACGAAACTCACGAACACATGATTAACCAATCAAGAGCGGCTCTATCAGCAATTTCCAAACATATTTATTTTAATAAGTACAGTTTTGACATATAAAGCGTACTCTTAAGTCCCGTAATGAATTTCTAACATAATTCAAAATTGATTTTACTGTTGTAATACATCTAAATCAACCTTATGTAGCACTTAATTTAACCATGTTGCAAAACTGACTTGTGTCGCTACTACAGATGTCAAGCCTTTTGCAAGTTACTAAGTGTTAAACCTTGTCCATGTTTACATTAACTTCACCCAAGTTAGTGTTACAGAGGGTGTTTCCAAACTCTTTACAAGTCCTCAAAACTTATGCTTATTTAACAAACGAAAATGTTACCTCGTGGTTTTAATCGTTCCGAAAACCCCTTAGCTACATTCACCCTAAGATAAGATATGGAAGACATTTTGAACGCGGTGACCGTAAGACATTCAGGATGCTACACGTGGCGTTACGGACTTGTCCCTTGTTATTTTTGGACAACAATGTTTACAAGCGATCTTTTACATGCAGCGATATCTTACCGTTTACGCTTTGTAATAAAGTTTTGTTTCGGTCATGTGGAGTATATAGCTTGTTTTCTGTTGTGAATTGATAAAAAAGTAAAATAAAAGCGACATGGAAAATTAGGAAATGTAGGAGTTTACTACATGTGAACTGTGATGTGAAAACTATAATTTCTACAAAAACAAAGTTCTTTGTGATTTTCTGTTCACGGATTTACAATAATTATGGATCAGCCATTATCCTTAAAGGGGTGTTACCACTTTACGAATAAGGAACAATCGATATAAAAAGTGGCAGCTATTTTTATTAAATCAATTATTTGGGCTGGTAGTAAAAATCTATGACATTTGTGTCATAGATACAATATAGGAAGGAGACGGCACTTGGGGCGTTTTTTCCCATAAGAATAACATGGGGATCATTTTTTGCCACTAATTCCGAAAATCCAGATTTTTGCCTACATATAAATATTACTAATCATCACATATTTCCGAAATCAAGCTAAAAAGCTAATTCTTTCATTTATTGACCCATACAAGTGTATATGTATGGTAGTATAGGTTATCGGTGCCGTTTTTTGAGGCGTTTCACGGTAGTACTAACTCCTTTTTTCTATGGTAGTACGTATAATCAGAGCTAATACAAGTTGAACAAAACATACTTACAGAACTTGTCCTCATGTAGACTCAGTGTCAGTGTCTACGATAATGGAGGAAAACTTCTGGACAATGTTTGGGAACTGATTACCAGTTGACCATGAGATAACATCAGCAGTCCCACAAATTGTCCCAGCTCTTCACCGGATGTTAAAGAAGATATTAGTGACATTTCATGAACGTTAGTTAAAAAAGTATTATTACTTGGAAAATTCATTACCAGAAAATATTTAAAGTGAAACATACAGTAAACATTAAGCCTAGGAGCTTGGCATGTTTACGTATTCAGAATAATTTTGTTAAGTTGCAAAATTAACTTAAGGGCCGTGTCAAAAGATAGTGATTGCAAAAAATTGTTTTATCCATCTAAAATGCATTGTAAAATGGTTTCCGCTCAATTAAAACTGCTATTTCAAACATGGTGGTTGGTGAACTTAAGTTTATTACAGAAGAAAACCCAAAGGGTTAGTTGAGAATATGCATACTAATTTAAAATGCCAAGAAGCGCAACCTTAACAGTGAATAAGTTGACTAATATTTGACATGGTTACATTCAATAAATAACTTTGAGCGTAGTAATGTTTTTTCGTGGGGAAATTAAATAAGTGTTAGGGGTTTTGTGGTTAGGTTGAATTTAATCTTTAAGTCACTTTAAACTTGGGAAGTACTATACGTCACACCCAAACATGACACTTGACAGATTATATGTTATTTCACTTGACTGGGTACAATCCATCAACCACGTTTGAAAATTATTACACTTATTCTCCAAACTGTATCCACATTCTTGCCAAGGTTAATCATGTATTATTAGGCTTATATTGCTGAATTCGGCCAGGCTTTTTGCTATATGGTAGCTTGAGTACAATATGTTTAATTTTATCAAGACAGTTTAGCTAAAGAATTATTCAAATATATATTATTTATACAATCACACAAATGAACATGAATGTGTTATTGCTTTAAATATCGGAGATTAAGAGATAATTTAGTTAAAAACATTACAACAGTGGGACCTAATTGGGTTAAATGAAAGGAAAGCTAAACTGACCTTTTTGAATTGGCTGTTTAACTTACACTTGACTTGAAAGTCAAATGTAAATATTTCTTCAGACAATTTTTCAATGAGTGTAAACCTATTTAAATGAAAAGTCCAGCAATTATTACACTTCTTAATTGAGTTTTATTTAGGGTACCATGTATTTTAATAGTTAGTTGCAATATAACTCCACGTATTAAGAGTGAAGGTATTACCGTATTTATTTTGTATGTACTTTGAATTTATTCATTTGATCTAAACAAGGTGTTTTGTGTGAAAATTACAATTACATATCAGAGAATATACCTAAAGGTTATATGATGTATGAATACTAGTTAAAGTACTTGTACTTTTGGTAAAGTCATCTCAGGGAATAAATAAAAAGTTCCCAAATGGAATTTGAGGGAATATTACTGACATTTCACATCAGAATCAGTAAAAAACCAGGGTTCTTTTCCGTTAACAGAAATGACCCGTTTTAACATGGGAACAAAAAATACCATCACCAAAAATGAACTTTAACTAAAGAGTTTCCAAATGGTTTGCTCAAAATTAAAAAATAACATAGTAGGAAATCATACACAAAGTTCATTCTTGCAGAAATATGTTGTATGTAGGCTTATTCAGACAAATAGTGTAATGTTTGATCTGTGACTCAGTTTTTTCAATACATTTACGTTTATTTTACAAAGAGTATATGCTTGTTATACAATCGCACCGTTATTAATTACTTAACACATGCTCCAACTGATGCAGATCAAAAGTAATGGACGAAGTAACGCCCATTACTCATGTTGATATATGAACCAGATCCCGCACAATGGTGAAGCGAGGATTACACAGTTCCATTACTTTACGTAGGTCAATATTACTTCTTGACAAATTATATTACGTAATGTTAAATTGTCCAGGGATTTGTACAACAAGGTATTAAATCCAATTCTATTTATAGTTGACGGACTGTGAAAGTGAACTTTTCGCTCTATTTTCGAATCTGAAGCATGTTTGAGTTGTGGTGACCAAATAATACTGATTTATTATCTGAAAGTGAATTATGCAGCATGCAATTTACTATTTTGTCATAGATAGAGGAAAATTTATGTTTATAAATCAATTAATTGTAAAAAAAATAATTGACAAAAAAAAATTAAAGCAATTTTTTTAGTAAAAAAAAATAAAAAAATTAAACATGTACCCTACACATTTTTTACACATAGGAAAGTTGTTTTAAACTGTTTTCAATATATTCTAGCTATTTTATTTTTTGTTAGTTTAATCTATAAAAAGCACGGGTAAATCCTGTTTGTATTTCTCTGACCAGTCCTCACCTGTCGAATACAGGCAAGAGACCTTTATAAGAACGCACAGATAGTTGAATTTGTATAGTGAATCAACCATCATTGTATGTGTTCACAAAAGATTTCCAATAAGAAAAATCTGTGTCGTAGACGAGTTTGTCATCTTTGAACATTAAAGATCTTGTACAATTTAAGACAAAATTTAAACATTTGGAAGCATATTTGTAACTTATTGCATTTTATGAATGACGGGGTTCATTGGAATTAACATTTTTTACGTAGAAAATCTACATGCTAAATTAGAATTGAAAAGGGTGTCTTTGTGTCTTTTAAATAGGATTAATATTGTTGTTATAACAATAATCATTGTCGTTAATATTGTTGTGAATAGGCCAGTGTTTTTTTCTTCTTAGTCAGTCTGACACGTGGGAAATTTAGTTTTAATAGAATATTATATCAATTTATTTGTATTGTGTTGTGCATTGTAATTTTAATTATTGTAATACTTGTATTACTGGGAGAAAATAAATATTCTTATTCTTATACTTCTTATTCTTAAATTCAAATTGCCATCTTCTTATTTCATCGCCTGTTTATTTTGTCATATCACAGTCATATCCTAATATCTTTACTCAACTGACCTATTTTATATACAACACGCTCATTTGGCTTTGAGTTTGCTTCGTGTTGTGCTTTTGGTTTTGCTTTCAGTTTGTGCTTTCAGGTTTTGCTTTCAGTTTGGGAGGGCTTGAGATTGCTTTGAGTTCTGCTTTCAGTTTGACTTTTGCATTTGGCTTTCAGTTTTTGTGCTTTGTATTTGGCTATCAGTTCGGGTTGCTTTGAGTTTGGACTTTCGTTTTGCTTTCAAATTGACTTTGCATTTGGCTTTCAGTTTGGATGACTTTGCATTTGGCTTTCAGTTTGGATGACTTTGAATTTGGTTTTCAGATTGGATGAATTTGAGTTTGGCTTTCAGTTTGGGCGACTTTGAGTCTGGCTTTCAGTTTGTTTGGCTTTGAGTTTGGACTGTGCTTTTGGTTTTCAGTTTGGGTGACTTTGAGTTTGGCTTTCAATTGGGTATTTCGAGTTTGGCTTTGGGTTTGGTTGACTTTGCATTTGGCTTTCAGTTTAGGTGACTTTGAGTTTGGCTTTTAGTTTGGGAAGCTTTGAGTTTGGATTTTCGTTTTGCTTTCAGTTTGGCTTTGCTTTTGGCCTTCAGTTTGGGCGGCTTTGAGTTTAGCTTTCAGTTTGGGCGGCTTTGAGTTTGGCTTTCAGTTTGGGCCGCTTTGAGTATGGACTTTCGTTTTGCTTTAAGTTTGACTTTCTTTTGGCTTTCAGTTTGGTTGCTTTCAGTTTTGGGCGGCTTTGAGTTTGGACTTTAGCTTTGCTTTCAGTTTGACATTGCATTTGGCTTTCAGTTTGGGTGGCTTTGAGTTTAGACTTTTTTATTTGGCTTTCAGTTTGGATGACTTTGAGTATGGGCTTTCGTTTGGCTTTCAGTTTGGGCGGCTGTGAGTTTGGCTTTCAGTTTGACTTTGCTTTTTGGCTTTCAGTTTGGACTTTCAGTTTAGGCACTTTGACTTTTGTTTTGCTTTCAGTTTGACTTTGCATTTGGCTTTCAGTTTGGATGACTTTTGACTTTGAGTTTGGCTATCAGTTTGGGCCGCTTTGAGTATGGACTTTCGTTTTGCTTTCAGTTTGACTTTGCATTTGGCTTTTCAGTTTGGATGACTTTGAGTTTGGGTTTTAGTTTGGGTGGCTTTGAGTTTGGACTTTCGTTTTGATTTCAGTTTGGGAGGTTTTGATATTGCTTTGAGTTATACAGATTATATGTTATTTCACTTGACTGGGTACAATCCATCAACCACGTTTGAAAATGATTACACTTATTCTCCAAACTGTATCCACATTCTTGCCAAGGTTAATCATGTATTATTAGGCTTATATCGCTAAATTCGGCCAGGCTTTTTGCTATGTGGTAGCTTGAGTACAATATGTTTGATTTTATCAAGTCAGTTTAGCTAAAGAATTATTCAAATACATATTTATACAAACACACAAATAAACATGATTGTGTTATTGCTTTAAATATCGGAGATTAAGAGATAATTTAGTTTGCATTACTACAACAGTAGGGCCTAATTGGTTTAAATGAAAGGAAAGCTAAATTGACCTTTTTGAATTAGCTGTTTAACTTACACTTGACTTGAAAGTCAAATGTAAATATTTCTTCAGACAATTTTTCAATGAGCGTAAACCTATTTAAATGAAAAGTCCAGTAATTATTAAATTTCTTAATTGAGTTTTACTGTAGCATTTCTTTACCATGTATTTTAATGTTGTAATATAACTCCACGTATTAAGAGTGAAGGTATTACCGTACTTATTTTGTATGTACTTTGAATTTATTCATTTGATTTAAACAGGGTGTGTTGTGTGAAAATTACAATTACATATCAGAGAATATACCTAAAGGTTATATGATGTATGAATACTAGTTAAAGTACTTGTACTTTTGGTAAAGTCATCTCAGGGAATAAATAAAAAGTTCCCAAATGGTATTTGAGGGAATATTATGGACATTTCACAACACAATCAGTAAAAAACCATGGTTCTTTTCCGTTAATTCACTACCACTACTATTTTATTGCAATTCCGATTTTTAACAGTTAGCCTATATGAATATACTTATCAATTATAAAATGAAACTATTCTAAGCTTACCTAACCAACCAAATTTGGTGATTATGAAAACATTCTGGTAGTAAATAAACGGAATTGCAATAAAAATGTAGTACTTGTGAATTAACGGAAAAAGGCCGTTTTCGCGACATTCCTTTTGTTTCCTTGGTGGAAACAAAAAATACCATCACCAAAAATGAACTTTAACTAAAGAGTTTCCAAATGGTTTGCTCAAAATTAAAAAAAGAACATAGAAGAAATCATACACAAAGTTCATTCTTGCAGACAAGTGTTATGTAGGATTCAGACAAATAGTGTAATGTTTGTTCTGTGACTCAGTTTTTTCAATACATTTTACATTTACGTTTATTTTACAAATGGTATATGCTTGTTATACAATCGTACCGTTATTAATTACTTAACACATGCTACAACTGATGCAGATAAAAAGTAATGGACGAAGTAACGCCCATTACTCATGTTGATATATGAACCAGATCCCGCACAATGGTGAAGTGAGGATTACACAGTTCCATTACTTTACGTAGGTCAATATTACTTCTTGACAAATCATATTACGTAATGTTAAATTGTCCAGGGATTTGTACAACAAGGTATTAAATCCAATTCTATTTATAGTTGACGGACTGTGAAAGTGAACTTTTCGCTCTATTTTCGAATCTGAAGCATGTTTGAGTTGTGACCAAATAATACTGATTTATTATCTGAATGTGAATTATGCAGCATGCAATTTACTATTTTGTCATATTAATAGAGGAAAATTTATGTTTACAAATCAATTAATTGTAAAAAAAAATAATTGACAAAAAAAATTAAAGCATTTTTTTAGTAGAAAAAAAAAATTAAAAAATAAAACATGTACCCTACACAATTTTCACATATAGGAAAGTTGTTTTAAACTGTTCAATCTATTCTAGCTATTTTCTTTTTTGTTAGTTTAATCTATAAAAAGCATGGGTAAATCCTGTTTGTATTTCTCTGACCAGTCCTCACCTGTCGAATACAGGCAAGAGACCTTTATAAGAACGCACAGATAGTTGAATTTGTATAGTGAATCAACCATCATTGTATGTGTTCACAAAAGATTTCCAATAAGAAAAATCTGTGTCGTAGACGAGTTTGTCATCTTTGAACATTAAAGATCTTGTACAATTTAAGACAAAATTTAAACATTTGGAAGCATATTTATAACTTACTAGTGTACATGTTGCTCGGATTCGAGCAATTGCAAAGTATTACAGTAGTTATTTCAAAACGAATAACAGTCATATTTACAATTAATTTAAAAGAGTTAACTCAAATATTACCGGTGTGTAACTCAGACCATGTTTATCTTCGTTATTGGTAAACCTAAAGCATTCCGGTCGGTTTTCTCCTTCTCTAAATGCCTCGCTGTACAGGCAACACAGGTTATTGATAGAGGGCCAATTGAGAACGAAAAGTCATTTTGGGATAGGGTTAGGGCGCATTTAACCTAATAGTAGTTGAGATTGTCCAGGGTCAGGTGCTGACTGTGATGAGTTAGGCCTATTAAGCGCCACTGTTTTGTAGCTGCGGTCGTTATCACGATTACGCCTCCTTTCTATATGTTTCGTTGTCGTCGCGTCGGAGGCATTTAAAAGAAAAAAAACACAAATAAACAAATTATAGCTACACAAAACAACGATAAATGCACAAATTTAAGTTACAATCGTGATAACACGATCCGTCATAGCAACACAAAACAACCATAAATACACAAATTTAAGATACAACCGTAGTAACACGGTCCGTCTTGGGGTTTATGTTTACACAAACTCAAATATGTACTCAATGCGTTTCATTGAATTGAATAATAAATAACAGCAATTAAATTATACAGCTGATCAAAATGTAAACAATTATGTTCTCCATAAGGATAACATGGGAACTTTCAAAGCCACTGGGGCAGAGCCCAAGGGACTTTTTCAAAAACGTAAGGCCAGTTTGCAAATCTAAGCGACACGCTCTTTTCAATGAGACGTCAACGGATAAAATCGGTTAAGAAATGGCGGAGGAGTTCAACCGACAAACTTTCATGTAGCGTATTAATTATATAGATTGCATTTTATGAATGACGGGGTTAATTGGAATTAACATTTTTTACGTTAGAAAATCTACATGCTAAATTAGAATTGAAAAGGGTGTCTTTGTGTCTTTTAAATTCAAATTGCCATCTTCTTATTTCATCGCCTGTTTATTTTGTCAACAGTCATATCCTAATGTCTTTACTCAACTGACCTATTTTATATACATAACGCTCATTTGGCTTTCAGTTTGGGTGACTTTGAGTTTGCTTCGAGTTGTGATTTTGGTTTTGCTTTCAGTTTGTGCTTTCGGGGTTGCTTTCAGGTTGGGAGGTTTTGAGATTGCTTTGAGTTCAGCTTTAAGTTTGGGCTTTCGGTTTGATTGGCTTTGAGTTTACCTTAAGTTGTGCTTTCGGTTTTGCCTTCAGTTTTGCTTTCAGTTTGGGAGGCTTTGAGTTTGGCTTTCAGTTTAAGTGACTTTGAGTTTGGACTTTCGTTTCGCTTTCAGCTTGACTTTTAGTTTAGCTTTCAGGTTGGGTTGCTTTTAGTTTGGCGGCTTTGACTTTGAACTTTCGTTTTGATTTCGTTTTCAGTTTGGGTTGCTTTGAGTTTGGCTTTCAGTTTGGGTGGCTTTGAGTTTGGACTATCAGTTTGGGTGGCTTTGTGTTTCGTCTTGCTTTCAGTTGCACCTTGCTTTTGGCTTTCAGTTTGAGCGACTTTGCTTTTGGCTTTCAGTTTGGGCGACTTTGAGTTTGGTTCTCAGTTTGGGTGGCTTTGAGTTTGGGCTTCCATTTTGCTTTCAATTTGACTTTGCATTTGGCTTTCAGTTTGGGTGGCTTTGAGTTTGGACTTTCGTCTTGCTTTCAGTTTGAATTTGCTTGTGGCTTTCAGTTTGGGCGACTTTGCTTTTGGCTTTCAGTTTGGACGACTTTGAGTTTGGTTCTCAGTTTGGATGACTTTGAGTTTGGCTTTTAGCTTGGGTGGCTTTGAGTTCGGACTTTCGTTTTGCTTTCAGTTTGACTTTGCATTTGGTTCTCAGATTGGGTGGGTTAGAGTTTGGTTCTCAGTTTGGATGACTTTGAGTTTGGACTTTCGTTTTGCTTTCAGTTTGACTTTGCATTTGGCTTTAAGTTTGAATTGCTTTGAGTTTGGACTTTCAGTTTGGGTGGCTTTGAGCTTTGACTTTCGTCTTGCTTTCAGTTTGACCTTGCTTTTGGCTTTCAGTTTGGGCGACTTTGAGTTTGGTTCTCAGATTGGGTGGGTTTGAGTTTGGGCTTCCATTTTGCTTTCAATTCGACTTTGCATTTGTCTTTCAGTTTGGGTGGCTTTGAGTTTGGACTTTCGTCTTGCTTTCAGTTTGACTTTGCTTTTAGCTTTCAGTTTGGGCGACTTTGGCTTTCAGTTTGGGTTGCTTTGAGTTTGGACTTTCAGTTTGGGTTGCTTTGAGTTTGGCCTTAAGTTTGAATGACTTTGAGTTAAGCTTTCAGTTTGGTCGGCTTTGAGTTTGGACTATCAGTTTGGGTGGCTTTGAGTTTGGACTTTCGTTTTGCTTTCAGTTTGACTTTGCATTTGGCTTTCAGTTTGGATGACTTTTTGAGTTTGGTTTTCAGTTTGGGTTGCTTTGAGTTTGGCCTTCAGTTTGAACGACTTTGAGTTTGGTTTTCAGTTTGGGTTGCTTTGAGTTTGGACTTTCAGTTTGGGTGGCTTTGAGTTTGAGCTTCAGCTTGAGTGACTTTGAGTTTGGTTTTCAGTTGGGTTGCTTTGAGTTTGGCCTTCAGTTTGAATGACTTTGAGTTTAGCTTTCAGTTTGGGTGGCTTTGAGTTTGGACTTTCGTCTTGCTTTCAGTTTGACTTTGCTTTTGGCTTTCAGTTTTGCTTTTGGCTTTCAGTTGAGTGGCTTTCAGCTGAGTTTGGTTCTCAGTTTGGGTGGCTTTGAGTTTGGGCTTCCATTTTGCTTTCAATTCGACTTTGCATTTGGCTTTCAGTTTGGGCGACTTTGGCTTTCAGTTTGGGTTGCTTTGAGTTTGGACTTTCAGTTTGGACTTTCAGTTTGGGTTGCTTTGAGTTTGGCCTTCAGTTTGAATGACTTTGAGTTAAGCTTTCAGTTTGGGTGGCTTTGAGTTTGGACTATCAGTTTGGGTGGCTTTGAGTTTGGACTTTCGCTTTGCTTTCAGTTTGACTTTGCATTTGGCTTTCAGTTTGGATGACTTTTTAAGTTTGGTTTTCAGTTTGGGTTGCTTTGAGTTTGGCCTTCAGTTTGAACGACTTTGAGTTTGGTTTTCAGTTTGGGTTGCTTTGAGTTTGGACTTTCAGTTTGGGTGGCTTTGAGTTTGAGCTTCAGCTTGAGTGACTTTGAGTTTGGTTTTCAGTTGGGTTGCTTTGAGTTTGGCCTTCAGTTTAAATGACTTTGAGTTTAGCTTTCAGTTTGGGTGGCTTTGAGTTTGGACTTTCGTCTTGCTTTCAGTTTGACTTTGCTTTTGGCTTTCAGTTTTGCTTTTGGCTTTCAGTTGAGTGGCTTTCAGCTGAGTTTGGTTCTCAGTTTGGGTGGCTTTGAGTTTGGGCTTCCATTTTGCTTTCAATTCGACTTTGCATTTGGCTTTCAGTTTGGGCGACTTTGGCTTTCAGTTTGGGTTGCTTTGAGTTTGGACTTTCAGTTTGGGTTGCTTTGAGTTTGGCCTTCAGTTTGAATGACTTTGAGTTAAGCTTTCAGTTTGGGTGGCTTTGAGTTTGGACTATCAGTTTGGGTGGCTTTGAGTTTGGACTTTCGTTTTGCTTTCAGTTTGACTTTGCATTTGGCTTTCAGTTTGGATGACTTTTTGAGTTTGGTTTTCAGTTTGGGTTGCTTTGAGTTTGGCCTTCAGTTTGAACGACTTTGAGTTTGGTTTTCAGTTTGGGTTGCTTTGAGTTTGGACTTTCAGTTTGGGTGGCTTTGAGTTTGAGCTTCAGCTTGAGTGACTTTGAGTTTGGTTTTCAGTTGGGTTGCTTTGAGTTTGGCCTTCAGTTTAAATGACTTTGAGTTTAGCTTTCAGTTTTGGTGGCTTTGAGTTTGGACTTTCGTCTTGCTTTCAGTTTGACTTTGCTTTTGGCTTTCAGTTTTGCTTTTGGCTTTCAGTTGAGTGGCTTTCAGCTGAGTTTGGTTCTCAGTTTGGGTGGCTTTGAGTTTGGGCTTCCATTTTGCTTTCAATTCGACTTTGCATTTGGCTTTCAGTTTGGGCGACTTTGCATTTGGCTTTCAGTTTGGGCGACTTGTTTGGGCGACTTTGGCTTTCAGTTTGGGTTGCTTTGAGTTTGGACTTTCAGTTTGGACTTTCAGTTTGGGTTGCTTTGAGTTTGGCCTCCAGTTTGAATGACTTTGAGTTTTAGCTTTCAGTTTGGGTGGCTTTGAGTTTGGACTTTAGTCTTGCTTTCAGTTTGACCTTGCTTTTGGCTTTCAGTTTGAGCGACTTTGCTTTTGGTTCTCAGTTTGGGTGGCTTTGAGTTTGGGCTTCCATTTTGCTTTCAATTCGACTTTGCATTTGGCTTTCAGTTTGGATGACTTTTTGAGTTTGGTTTTCAGTTTGGGTTGCTTTGTGTTTGGCCTTCAGTTTGAACGACTTTGAGGTTGGCTTTCAGTTTGGGTGGCTTTGAGTTTTGGACTTTCAGTTTGGGTTGCTTTGAGTTTGGCCTTCAGTTTGAATGACTTTGAGTTTAGCTTTCAGTTTGGGTGGCTTTGAGTTTGGTTCTCAGTTTGGATGACTTTGAGTTTGGCCTTTCGTTTTGCTTTCAGTTTGACTTTGCATTTGGCTTTCAGTTTGGATGACTTCGAGTTTGGCTTTCAGTTTGAATTGCTTTGAGTTTGGACTTTAAGTTTGGGTGGCTTTGAGCTTGGACTTTCGTCTTGCTTTCAGTTTTACCTTGCTTTTGGCTTTCAGTTTGGGCGACTTTGAGTTTGGTTCTCAGATCGGGTGGGTTTGAGTTTGGGCTTCCATTTTGCTTTCAATTCGACTTTGCATTTGTCTTTCAGTTTGGGTGGCTTTGAGTTTGGACTTTCGTCTTGCTTTCAGTTTGACTTTGCTTTTGGCTTTCAGTTTGGGCGACTTTGCTTTTGGCTTTCAGTTTGGACGACTTTGAGTTTGGTTCTCAGTTTGGATGACTTTGAGTTTGGATTTTAGTTTGGGTGGCTTTGAGTTTGGACTTTCGTCTTGCTTTCAGTTTGACTTTGCATTTGGCTTTCAAATTGGATGACTTGAAAGTCAAATGTAAATATTTCTTCAGACAATTTTTCAATGAGCGTAAACCTATTTAAATGAAAAGTCCAGTAATTATTAAATTTCTTAATTGAGTTTTACTGTAGCATTTCTTTACCATGTATTTTAATGTTGTAATATAACTCCACGTATTAAGAGTGAAGGTATTACCGTACTTATTTTGTATGTACTTTGAATTTATTCATTTGATTTAAACAGGGTGTGTTGTGTGAAAATTACAATTACATATCAGAGAATATACCTAAAGGTTATATGATGTATGAATACTAGTTAAAGTACTTGTACTTTTGGTAAAGTCATCTCAGGGAATAAATAAAAAGTTCCCAAATGGTATTTGAGGGAATATTATGGACATTTCACAACACAATCAGTAAAAAACCATGGTTCTTTTCCGTTAATTCACTACCACTACTATTTTATTGCAATTCCGATTTTTAACAGTTAGCCTATATGAATATACTTATCAATTATAAAATGAAACTATTCTAAGCTTACCTAACCAACCAAATTTGGTGATTATGAAAACATTCTGGTAGTAAATAAACGGAATTGCAATAAAAATGTAGTACTTGTGAATTAACGGAAAAAGGCCGTTTTCGCGACATTCCTTTTGTTTCCTTGGTGGAAACAAAAAATACCATCACCAAAAATGAACTTTAACTAAAGAGTTTCCAAATGGTTTGCTCAAAATTAAAAAAAGAACATAGAAGAAATCATACACAAAGTTCATTCTTGCAGACAAGTGTTATGTAGGATTCAGACAAATAGTGTAATGTTTGTTCTGTGACTCAGTTTTTTCAATACATTTTACATTTACGTTTATTTTACAAATGGTATATGCTTGTTATACAATCGTACCGTTATTAATTACTTAACACATGCTACAACTGATGCAGATAAAAAGTAATGGACGAAGTAACGCCCATTACTCATGTTGATATATGAACCAGATCCCGCACAATGGTGAAGTGAGGATTACACAGTTCCATTACTTTACGTAGGTCAATATTACTTCTTGACAAATCATATTACGTAATGTTAAATTGTCCAGGGATTTGTACAACAAGGTATTAAATCCAATTCTATTTATAGTTGACGGACTGTGAAAGTGAACTTTTCGCTCTATTTTCGAATCTGAAGCATGTTTGAGTTGTGACCAAATAATACTGATTTATTATCTGAATGTGAATTATGCAGCATGCAATTTACTATTTTGTCATATTAATAGAGGAAAATTTATGTTTACAAATCAATTAATTGTAAAAAAAATAATTGACAAAAAAAATTAAAGCATTTTTTTAGTAGAAAAAACAAATTAAAAAATAAAACATGTACCCTACACAATTTTCACATATAGGAAAGTTGTTTTAAACTGTTCAATCTATTCTAGCTATTTTCTTTTTTGTTAGTTTAATCTATAAAAAGCATGGGTAAATCCTGTTTGTATTTCTCTGACCAGTCCTCACCTGTCGAATACAGGCAAGAGACCTTTATAAGAACGCACAGATAGTTGAATTTGTATAGTGAATCAACCATCATTGTATGTGTTCACAAAAGATTTCCAATAAGAAAAATCTGTGTCGTAGACGAGTTTGTCATCTTTGAACATTAAAGATCTTGTACAATTTAAGACAAAATTTAAACATTTGGAAGCATATTTATAACTTACTAGTGTACATGTTGCTCGGATTCGAGCAAATGCAAAGTATTACAGTAGTTATTTCAAAACGAATAACAGTCATATTTACAATTAATTTAAAAGAGTTAACTCAAATATTACCGGTGTGTAACTCAGACCATGTTTATCTTCGTTATTGGTAAACCTAAAGCATTCCGGTCGGTTTTCTCCTTCTCTAAATGCCTCGCTGTACAGGCAACACAGGTTATTGATAGAGGGCCAATTGAGAACGAAAAGTCATTTTGGGATAGGGTTAGGGCGCATTTAACCTAATAGTAGTTGAGATTGTCCAGGGTCAGGTGCTGACTGTGATGAGTTAGGCCTATTAAGCGCCACTGTTTTGTAGCTGCGGTCGTTATCACGATTACGCCTCCTTTCTATATGTTTCGTTGTCGTCGCGTCGGAGGCATTTAAAAGAAAAAAAACACAAATAAACAAATTATAGCTACACAAAACAACGATAAATGCACAAATTTAAGTTACAATCGTGATAACACGATCCGTCATAGCAACACAAAACAACCATAAATACACAAATTTAAGATACAACCGTAGTAACACGGTCCGTCTTGGGGTTTATGTTTACACAAACTCAAATATGTACTCAATGCGTTTCATTGAATTGAATAATAAATAACAGCAATTAAATTATACAGCTGATCAAAATGTAAACAATTATGTTCTCCATAAGGATAACATGGGAACTTTCAAAGCCACTGGGGCAGAGCCCAAGGGACTTTTTCAAAAACGTAAGGCCAGTTTGCAAATCTAAGCGACACGCTCTTTTCAATGAGACGTCAACGGATAAAATCGGTTAAGAAATGGCGGAGGAGTTCAACCGACAAACTTTCATGTAGCGTATTAATTATATAGATTGCATTTTATGAATGACGGGGTTAATTGGAATTAACATTTTTTACGTTAGAAAATCTACATGCTAAATTAGAATTGAAAAGGGTGTCTTTGTGTCTTTTAAATTCAAATTGCCATCTTCTTATTTCATCGCCTGTTTATTTTGTCAACAGTCATATCCTAATGTCTTTACTCAACTGACCTATTTTATATACATAACGCTCATTTGGCTTTCAGTTTGGGTGACTTTGAGTTTGCTTCGAGTTGTGATTTTGGTTTTGCTTTCAGTTTGTGCTTTCGGGGTTGCTTTCAGGTTGGGAGGTTTTGAGATTGCTTTGAGTTCAGCTTTAAGTTTGGGCTTTCGGTTTGATTGGCTTTGAGTTTACCTTAAGTTGTGCTTTCGGTTTTGCCTTCAGTTTTGCTTTCAGTTTGGGAGGCTTTGAGTTTGGCTTTCAGTTTAAGTGACTTTGAGTTTGGACTTTCGTTTCGCTTTCAGCTTGACTTTTAGTTTAGCTTTCAGGTTGGGTTGCTTTTAGTTTGGCGGCTTTGACTTTGAACTTTCGTTTTGATTTCGTTTTCAGTTTGGGTTGCTTTGAGTTTGGCTTTCAGTTTGGGTGGCTTTGAGTTTGGACTATCAGTTTGGGTGGCTTTGTGTTTCGTCTTGCTTTCAGTTGCACCTTGCTTTTGGCTTTCAGTTTGAGCGACTTTGCTTTTGGCTTTCAGTTTGGGCGACTTTGAGTTTGGTTCTCAGTTTGGGTGGCTTTGAGTTTGGGCTTCCATTTTGCTTTCAATTTGACTTTGCATTTGGCTTTCAGTTTGGGTGGCTTTGAGTTTGGACTTTCGTCTTGCTTTCAGTTTGAATTTGCTTGTGGCTTTCAGTTTGGGCGACTTTGCTTTTGGCTTTCAGTTTGGACGACTTTGAGTTTGGTTCTCAGTTTGGATGACTTTGAGTTTGGCTTTTAGCTTGGGTGGCTTTGAGTTCGGACTTTCGTTTTGCTTTCAGTTTGACTTTGCATTTGGTTCTCAGATTGGGTGGGTTAGAGTTTGGTTCTCAGTTTGGATGACTTTGAGTTTGGACTTTCGTTTTGCTTTCAGTTTGACTTTGCATTTGGCTTTAAGTTTGAATTGCTTTGAGTTTGGACTTTCAGTTTGGGTGGCTTTGAGCTTTGACTTTCGTCTTGCTTTCAGTTTGACCTTGCTTTTGGCTTTCAGTTTGAGCGACTTTGCTTTTGGTTCTCAGTTTGGGTGGCTTTGAGCTTGGGCTTCCATTTTGCTTTCAATTCGACTTTGCATTTGGCTTTCAGTTTGGATGACTTTTTGAGTTTGGTTTTCAGTTTGGGTTGCTTTGTGTTTGGCCTTCAGTTTGAACGACTTTGAGGTTGGCTTTCAGTTTGGGTGGCTTTGAGTTTTGGACTTTCAGTTTGGGTTGCTTTGAGTTTGGCCTTCAGTTTGAATGACTTTGAGTTTAGCTTTCAGTTTGGGTGGCTTTGAGTTTGGTTCTCAGTTTGGATGACTTTGAGTTTGGCTTTTCGTTTTGCTTTCAGTTTGACTTTGCATTTGGCTTTCAGTTTGGATGACTTCGAGTTTGGCTTTCAGTTTGAATTGCTTTGAGTTTGGACTTTAAGTTTGGGTGGCTTTGAGCTTGGACTTTCGTCTTGCTTTCAGTTTTACCTTGCTTTTGGCTTTCAGTTTGGGCGACTTTGAGTTTGGTTCTCAGATCGGGTGGGTTTGAGTTTGGGCTTCCATTTTGCTTTCAATTCGACTTTGCATTTGTCTTTCAGTTTGGGTGGCTTTGAGTTTGGACTTTCGTCTTGCTTTCAGTTTGACTTTGCTTTTGGCTTTCAGTTTGGGCGACTTTGCTTTTGGCTTTCAGTTTGGACGACTTTGAGTTTGGTTCTCAGTTTGGATGACTTTGAGTTTGGATTTTAGTTTGGGTGGCTTTGAGTTTGGACTTTCGTCTTGCTTTCAGTTTGACTTTGCATTTGGCTTTCAAATTGGATGACTTCGAGTTTGGCTTTCAGTTTGAATTGCTTTGAGTTTGGACTTTCAGTTTGGGTGGCTTTGAGCTTGGTCTTTCGTCTTGCTTTCAATTTGACTTTGCTTTTGGCTTTCAGTTTGGGCGACTTAGGCTTTCAGTTTGGGTTGCTTTGAGTTTGACTTTCAGTTTGGGTTGTTTTGAGTTTGGCCTTCAGTTTGAATGACTTTGAGTTTAGCTTTCAGTTTGGGTGGCTTTGAGTTTGGACTTTCGTCTTGCTTTCAGTTTGACATTGCTTTTGGCTTTCAGTTTGAGCGATTTGTTTTCAGCTTGGGCGACTTTGAGTTTGGTTCTCAGTTTGGGTGGCTTTGAGTTTGGACTTTCGTCTTGCTTTCAGTTTGGGCGACTTTGCCTTGGCTTTCAGTTTGGGCGACTTTGAGTTTGGTTCTCAGATTGGGTGGGTTTGAGTTTGGCTGTTAGTTTGGGTGGCTTTGAGTTTGGACTTTCGTGCTTTTGGCTTTCAGTTTGGGTGACTTTGAGTTTGGCTTTCAGTTTGGGTTGCTTTAAGTTTGCCCTTCAGCTTGGGTGACTTTGAGTTTGGCCTTCAGTTTGAATGAATTTGAGTTTAGCTTTCAGTTTGGGTGGCTTTGAGTTTGGACTTTTTGTCTTGCTTTCAGTTCGACATTGCTTTTGGCTTTCAGTTTGGGCGACTTTGAGTTTGGTTCTCAGTTTGGGTGACTTTGAGTTTGGCCTTTCGTTTTGCTTTCAGTTTGACTTTGCATTTGGCTTTCAGTTTGGATGACTTCGAGTTTGGCTTTCAGTTTGAATTGCTTTGAGTTTGGACTTTAAGTTTGGGTGGCTTTGAGCTTGGACTTTCGTCTTGCTTTCAGTTTGACCTTGCTTTTGGCTTTCAGTTTGGGCAACTTTGAGTTTGGTTCTCAGATTGGGTGGGTTTGAGTTTGGGCTTCCATTTAGCTTTCAATTCGACTTTGCATTTGTCTTTCAGTTTGGGTGGCTTTGAGTTTGGACTTTCGTCTTGCTTTCAGTTTGACTTTGCTTTTGGCTTTCAGTTTGGGCGACTTTGGCTTTCAGTTTGGGTTGCTTTGAGTTTGGACTTTCAGTTTGGGTTGCTTTGAGTTTGGCCTCCAGTTTGAATGACTTTGAGTTTTAGCTTTCAGTTTGGGTGGCTTTGAGTTTGGACTATCAGTTTGGGTGGCTTTGAGTTTGGACTTTCGTCTTGCTTTCAGTTTGACCTTGCTTTTGGCTTTCAGTTTGAGTGACTTTGCTTTTGGCTCTCAGTTTGGGCGACTTTGAGTTTGGTTCTCAGTTTGGGTGGCTTTGAGTTTGGGCTTCCATTTTGCTTTCAATTCGACTTTGCATTTGGCTTTCAGTTTGGATGACTTTTTGAGTTTGGTTTTCAGTTTGGGTTGCTTTGTGTTTGGCCTTCAGTTTGAACGACTTTGAGGTTGGCTTTCAGTTTGGCTGGCTTTGAGTTTGGACTTTCAGTTTGGGTGGCTTTGAGTTTGGGCTTCAGCTTGAGTGACTTTGAGTTTGGTTTTCAGTTTGGGTTGCTTTGAGTTTGGCCTTCAGTTTGAATGACTTTGAGTTTAGCTTTCAGTTTGGGTGGCTTTGAGTTTGGACTTTCGTCTTGCTTTCAGTTTGACTTTGCATTTGGCTTTCAGTTTGGGTGACTTTGAGTTTGGCTTTCAGTTTGGGTTGCTTTGAGTTTGCCCTTCAGCTTGGGTGACTTTGAGTTTGGCCTTCAGTTTGAATGAATTTGAGTTTGGACTTTAAGTTTGGGTGGCTTTGAGCTTGGACTTTCGTCTTGCTTTCAGTTTGACCTTGCTTTTGGCTTTCAGTTTGGGCGACTTTGAGTTTGGTTCTCAGATTGGGTGGGTTTGAGTTTGGGCTTCCATTTTGCTTTCAATTCGACTTTGCATTTGTCTTTCAGTTTGGGTGGCTTTGAGTTTGCCCTTCAGCTTGGGTGACTTTGAGTTTGGTTTTCAGTTTGGGTTGCTTTGAGTTTGGCCTTCAGTTTGAATGACTTTGAGTTTAGCTTTCAGTTTGGGTGGCTTTGAGTTTGGACTTTCGTCTTGCTTTCAGTTTGACATTGCTTTTGGCTTTCATTTTGGGCGACTTTGTTTTTGGCTTTCAGTTTGGACGACTTTGAGTTTGGTTCTCAGTTTGGATGACTTTGAGTTTGGACTTTCGTTTGCTTTCAGTTTGACTTTGCATTTGGCTTTCAGTTTGGATGACTTCGAGTTTGGCTTTCAGTTTGAATTGCTTTGAGTTTGGACTTCCAGTTTGGGTGGCTTTGAGCTTGGACTTTCGTCTTGCTTTCAGTTTGACCTTGCTTTTGTTTTTCAGTTTGGGTGACTGTACTGTCTTTAAATACCATATTTCATTGTAATATTTATCAGCTGACTTTTTGTTTGTTTTTGTTTATGTGATGAGTTTTGGAAAATTGGTATTAAAACAGGGTTGATCTTATCTTGGTTTTATTTTATCTTCAAACAACTTACAATGGCGACGAGGATGAGGAAGAACGGTAGAAAACATCAGGAACTAGAGGAGGAACGCATAGTGATACAGAACAAACCAATGTTTTGTTCTAATTTTGATAAATTCGATGAAGACAATGAGACATGGACATCCTACATGGTGAGAATAGATACTTTTTTTGACTTAAATGAAATCACATCAGAAGTAAAGAAAAAGCAGTATCTGATAAATTTGTTAACACCTAAAGTATTCCATGATCTAAGGATTAGACTAAGCCCATCTAACACAGAAGATAAAAGTTACAATGAATTGTGTGAAACTTTACAAATATTACTTGAGCCTAAAGGTAGTATTATCGCGGAGCAACACAAATTCACTAAACGAGTCCAGAAACCTTGTGAATCTGTGGGTAGTTTTGCCAAAGACCTAAAAAACTTAGCCAGTAAATGTGATTTCAAATGTCCACAATGTTTATCTTCGACAACTGACGTCCACTTGCGGCAGCAGTTTATTTCGGGGCTTCATGATGAAAAGTTGTTGTCAAGATTAATGGAAATTCATGAAAATAAAAAACTTTAACCAGTGTATTGAAATAGCTAGTAACTTTGAACAGATCAAAAGTGAAACTGCAAAAATCCAAGAATCAAATTTGTATTCAAAAGTGGAAGAACAATTTCAGATTCAAGGAAGGAGGAACACTGGATATTCGCAAGGAAGAAAGGGTACTACAGCTTGTTTCAGGTGTGGAGGAAACCATCACGTTAGTATCTGTGAAATTCCTAAAGACATAAATTGTTGGAATTGCGACAGAAAGGGACATCTCAGCAAAGTTTGTTGGAGAAAGAAGCAAAACATGCTACAAACTGACGACGCTTCACCAGATAATGAATATGACGATGAGGGTGAGTGTCAAAATGTACCATTCATGTCTATGTTATCCATTGTAGATAGACAGAAAAAAAGTAGTAAACTATCTAAACTGTGTGATAGTATTTATCAACCAGAAGCTGTCAACAGGCCGAGGAAAATTATGTTAGAATGCACCATTGATGACAAGCGTAACTATTTTGAGTTGGATACTGGTGCTGCGGTCAGTACAATACCTTTACATCTGTTTCGAAAATTATTTCCAGAAAAGATTCTAAATAGAACAAGAATACGGTTAGGGACATATACAGGAGAAATGATTCGCCCCGTAGGTTTTGCAACAGTCAAAATTTGTTATAAAGATCAGATGTCTGTGGGCAACCTATACGTTATTCGGGGAAATGTAGACAGTGTATTTGGAAGGGAATGGTTGAAACTATTCAACATTGAGCTTCAGAAAGAGAATGACCACAGAACTAAGAAGGATGGAAACATAGTGGAATACAATAAGTCATTGACAGGAGGCCGGTACCATGATAGGAAGGGATTTAATCACCCGGCACTCGACCAGATATCCAAAGAGCCTGAGACTCGATTGGCCACCAAGAAACAGGCGAGAGATGAAGCTAGAGAAATCAGTACGAAGGAACTAGAAAGTCACCAGCTTTATGTATACTCCACTCCAAATAGAGCTAGTTCTGCCACCAATAGTAGATCTCAGCTGTGCTCAAAGAACAGCTATAAATCGTCAAATTGTACTTTCGTGCTTTTGGCTTTCAGTTTGGGCGACTTTGCTTTTGGCTTTCAGTTTGGGCGACTTCGCTTTTGGCTTTCAGTTTGGACGACTTTGAGTTTGGTTCTCAGTTTGGATGACTTTGAGTTTGGACTTTCATCTTGCTTTCAGTTTGACTTTGATTTTGGCTTTCAGTTTTGGGTGACTTTGCATTTGGCTTTCAGTTTGGGTTGCTTTGAGTTTGGCCTCCAGTTTGAATAACTTTGAGTTTAGCTCTCGGTTTGGGTGGCTTTGAGTTTGGGCTTCCATTTGCTTTCAGTTTGAATTTGAATTTGGCTTTCGCTTTGGGTTGCTTTCAGTCTGGCTTTCAGTTAAGACTTTCGTTTTGCATTTGGCTTTTTTGAATGACTTTGAGTTTGGCTTTCAGTTTATGTGCCTTTGAGTTTGACTTTCAGTTTGGGTTGTTTTTAGTTTTTATTTGGCTTTCAGTTTGGCTTTCAGTTTGGGTGGCTTTGAGTTTGGACTCACGTTTTGCTTTCAGCTTGACTTTTCATTTGGCTTTCAGTTTGAATGACTTTAAGTTTGGCTTCAGTTTGGGTTGCTTTTAGTTTGGCGGCTTTGACTTTGGACTTTCATTTTGCTTTCAGTTTGGATGACTTCGAGTTTGGTTTTTCAGTTTAGGTGGCTTTGAGTTTGGCTTTCAGTTTGGGTTGCTTTGAGTTAGCCCTTCAGTTTGAACGACTTTGAGTTTGGGTGGCTTTCAGTTTGACTTTGCTTTTGACTTTCAGTTTTGGCGACTTTGAGTTTGGTTTTCAGTTTGGGTGGCTTTGAGTTTGGACTTTCAGTTTAGGCGACTTTGAGTTTGGTTCTCAGTTTGGATGACTTTTGATTTGCTTTAAGTTTGACTTTGCTTTTGGCTTTCAGTTTGGGCGACTATGAATTTGGCTTTCAGTTTGGGTGGCTTTTAGTTTAGATGTTCGTTTTGCGTTCAATTCGGCTTTGAACTTGACTTTCAGTTTATGCGCTTGCTTTCAGTTTGGAATTGCTTTCAGTTTGACTGCTTTTGGCTTTAAGTGTGGGCGACTGTGAGACTGGCTTTCAGTTTGGGTGGCTTTGAGTTTAGCTTTCGTTTTGCTTTGAGTTTGAATTTGAATTTGGCTTTCGCTTTGGGTTGCTTTCAGTCTGGCTTTCAGTTAAGACTTAAAAAAAAACGAAAGTCCAAACTTAAATTCATCAACATTGAAAGTCAAATTTAAAGTCACCCAAACTGAACCCCAAACTCAAAGCCAAACTGAAAGCAAAACAAAAGCCTAAACTCAAAGTCACCCAAACTGAAAGCCAAAATAAATTCAAACTGAAAGCAGAACCGAAATAGCAAACTCAAAGTCACCTAAACTGAAAGCCAAATTAAAAGTCACCCAAACTGAAACCCAAACTCAAAGTCAAACTGAAAGCAGAGCCGAAAATCTAAACTCCAAGTCACCCAAACTGAAAACCAAACTAAAAGTCAAACTGAAAGCAAAACGAAAGTCCAAATTCAAAGCCAACCATACTGGAAGTCATCCAAACTGAAAGCCAAATGCAAAGTCAAACTGAAAGCAAAACAAAAATACAAACTCAAAGTCACCCAAACCGAAAGCCAAACTATAAGTCAAACTAGAAGCAAAACGAAAATCCAAACTCAAAGTCACTTAAAATGAAAGCCAAACTCAAAGCTCCCAAACGGAAAGCAAAACCGAAAGCATAACTAAAAGTCAAACTGAAAGCAAAACGAAAGTCCAAACTCAAAGTTATCCAAACGGAAAACCAAATGCAAAGTCAAACTGAAAGCAAAACGAAAGCCCAAACTCAAAGCCAACCAAATTGAAAGCAAAACGAAAGTACAAACTCAAAGTCCCCTAAACTGAAAGCAAATCAAAAGTCCAAATTCAAAGTCACCCAAAACTGAATGCAAACTAAAAGCAACTGAATGCTATAAGTCAAACTGAAAGCAAATCAAAAGTCCAAACTCAACGTCACCATAACTGAAAGACAAACTCAAAGCCTCCCAAACTGAAAGCCAAACTCAAAGTCAAACTGAAAGCAGAACCGAAAATCTAAACTCCAAGTCACCCAAACTGAATCCCAAACTACAGTCAAACTGAAAGCAGAACTGAAATACCAAACTCAAAGACACCTATACTGAAAGCCAAATTTCAAACTCAAAGTCAATCTCAAAGTTAAACTGAAAGCAAAATGAAAGTACAAACTTAAAATCACTTAAACTAAAAGCCAAACTCAAAGCCTCCAAAACTGAAAACCAAACTCAAAGTCAAACTAAAAGCAATACGAAAATCCAAATTCAAAGTCACTTAAAATGAAAGCCAAACTCAAAGCTCCCAAACTGAAATCCAAATCTAAAAACAAACTGCAAAGCCAAACTGAAAGCAAAACGAAAGTACAATTTCAAAGTCACCTAAACTGAAAGCTAAACTCAAAGTATTTCAAACTGAAAGCCAAACTCCAAACTGAAAGCAGAACCGAAATACCAACTCAAAGTCACCTAAAATGAAAGCCAAATTTAAAGTCAAACTGAAAGCAAAACGAAATCCCCAAACTCAAAGTCCCCTAAACCGAAAGCCAAATATAAAGGCACCCAAACTGAAAACCAATCTCAAAGTCAAAATGAAAGTAAAACAAAAGTCCAAAATCAAAACTGAAAGCCAAGATATAAGTCAAACTGAAAGCAAACGAAAGTCCAAACTCAAAGGCACTTTAACTGAAAGCCAATCCCAAAACCTCCCAAACTGAAAGCCAAACTCAAAGTCTAACTGAAAGCAGAACCGAAATACCAAACTCAAAGTCACCTAAACTGAAAGCCAAATTTAAAGTCACTGAAACTGAAACCCAAACTCAAAGTCAGCCAAACTGAAAGCCCAAACTCAAACTCAAAGTCAAACTGAAAACAAAACGAAATCCCAAACTCAAAGTCACCTAAACTGAAAGCCAACTTTAAAGTCATCCACACTGAAAGCCAAACTATAATTCAAACTGAAAGCAAAACGAAAGTCCATACTCAAAGTAGCTTAAACTGAAAGCCAAACTCAAAGTCAAACTGAAAGCAAAACGAAATCCCAAACTCAAAGTCTAATCTGTGTAATTTATGTAAATCTGGTCGAATAAATGAAAAAAGATTAAAAAAGAAATTTGCGAGTTTTCACGCTGAAAAAATTAAAGTCCATAGTTATTAGGCCTACTTGTGCACAAACATATTAACTCTCTATAATTGGATTTATTATCTATGTTACATGTACATCAACTATGCATACCCAAATACCGTATACATAGGAATATTATTTCTATCATAATCATATTGTAGGATATAATTAAGAATAGTCAAATCAAATGTAACGTCAGTTCCGGATTTGTATTTATCTAGTAAAAAAATTACGTTAGACATTATTTTTTTTATAAATAAATACATATTTTGCACAAATGGGTGCTAATTGGAAATCTTTGGTGCAGATAATTGCCACTTGATAACTATTTACAAGTTAACTTTTTTAAGATAATTAATATATTTCTAGAGAGATACCCATATCTTCCTGTACCTCGACATCGGTGTAAGTTAAAGCGCTCCCAGGAGGGCAATAAATGCGAAAGTTCGGATATCACCCACTTTAAACCTTTCTGTTCCACCACATTTGCTTTGTGAAAAAAACACTGATGTCAATTGAACATCGGAAGGCGTAACAATTTAGTACAAACAAATTTCCATCAACGGATGTGAAACTAGTTTGAATAATGCAAAATTATTATGTTACTCTGAATTCACTTAAATAAAAATTATTGAACACTATACTTTTATCGAGACTTTTACTTTGCAGTTGGCTTTCAGTTTGGACGACTTTCAGTTTGGGTGGCTTTGAGTTTGGACTTTCGTTTTGCTTTCAGTTTTACTTTGCAGTTGGCTTTCAGTTTGGACGACTTTTAGTTTGGGTGGCTTTGAGTTTGGACTTTCGTTTTGCTTTCAGTTTGACTTTGCATTTGGCTTTCAATGTGGATGGGCTTCAATGTGGCTTTCAATGTGAAGCCAACTTCAAAGTCAAACTGAAAGCGAAACGAAAGTCCAAACTCAAAGCCGCCCAAACTGAATGTCCAAACTCAAAGTCTCCCAAACTGAAAACCAAAAGCAAAAGTCAAACTGAAAGAAAAACGAAAGTCCAAACTCAAAGCCACTCAAACTAAAAGTCATCCAAACTGAAAGCCAACTGCAAAGTAAAACTGAAAGCAAAACGAAAGTCCAAACTCAAAGCCACCCAAACAGAAAGCCCAAACTCAATGTCAAACTGAAAGCAAAACA